CGTCGTATGGATACGAAAGTAAAACACGACGTACGGATGGGGTTAAGTGGTGGCACAGAGTTCCCCACGTCGTATGGATACGAAAGTAAAACACGACGTACGGATGGGGTTAAGTGGTGGCACAGAGTTCCCCACGTCGTATGGATACGAAAGTAAAACACGACGTACGGATGGGGTTAAGGGTGCTTTTGTCAGGGTTTGTTAACATCGGTGAAATTGTCTTTTTACGCTGATGTCAAAATACCTTTGAGTACTGCTTATGATGCTGGGGGATTTTTGTCCAAATGCTGTTTCTCTTACACTGTATTCATTTTATATAGATTATCATTCACTTAATACATTAGAGAAATGTTCTTACAAAATTATACTCTGTATCATACTTTTTTTTTTATATCAAAGAAATCTTCAATCCTTTGTCTGGCATGAATATCCATCCACACTTCTTATTACATTATATTGTATTATTTGTTATGTTGAAACCTTTTATTGCTAGTTTATTCTTATTTTTTTACTTCAAGGATTTGCACAGGGACTTAATGACAGAATGGTGATTTTAAAAAGAATGTTAATCTTATTTCTTGTTCACTTTCAACATAATTTCTTGTACAGGTGGCAAGAGTAGACGAGGGAGGAAGGACCATGCAGGGCTGTAATGACTGCAGCCTCGACTATACCGGGAACCTGTGGGTCACGGCACCAGCTGGTGACATAGCGCCAAATGAATATTTGAGATCGTTCGAGGTATTAATTTTTTTCTGTGCATGATCAAAATACAGATAATTATAGCTTGTCTGTCAACGTCTGACGATGACCAATGCATCCGCATATAGGAGAATTTTTCTCCTGTTAAATAGAAGAATTTGAAGAATTTAAAGGTTTTGATGACTTGTGGTTTCTGCGGTGGCTGATGAGACCAATTAGATAAGAGTAGACGTTTGACGGCTTGTGGTTTCTGCTGTGGCTGATGAGACCAATTAGATAAGAGCAGACGTTTGACGACTTGTGGTCTCTGCTGTGGCTGATGAGACCAATTAGATAAGAGCAGACGTTTGACGACTTGTGGTCTCTGCTGTGGCTGATGAGACCAATTAGATAAGAGCAGACGTTTGACTCGCGCAAAAGTTTGTTTAAAGTGAGAAAGAGCAGCACAAACATCAGACTACCCCCAGTGGGTCAGGGGGATATAAATAGACCCACTGCTCAGACTCTCTCTCTCGTCTAGGTCATCATCATCATCATTGGCTTTCTCACCCTGGATCAGGATATAGGCCACGAACAAACACTCTCCACATTTCCCTATCCTGGGCTAGTCGCTTGATGTCACTCCACGTCTTCCCACTTTTCTGTACATCCATCTCCTCGACTCTTCTCCAGGTTCCACGTGGTCTTCCCCTTGATCTCGCCTAGGTACGACGTATAAAAATACAGAATAAAGTTAAAATTGCACAAAATAGCCGTCCTTTGTTTTATATGTAGAAGAAAAGTGGTTGTCTGAGACAGGTGTATGTCTTGGACGGTGTCGCTGTGATGTAAAAAAAACAACTCTGCAAGATGGGAAGTTTTCATTTGTACAAATGGTTGTTTTGGACACAGGTGGTTGTCACAGCAGGTTTGACTGTTCGTCAGGTCAAGGCGTATTTCTCCTGACTAAATCTTACAATTTCTACAAGAGATGGAATGGAAGACGTGTCTTAGTGTGACTGCATTTACACTTTTGTGCACCGAACACACGCCTGGTCATATGACGATGTATGTCTTGTGATTGACACACAGGATCTCTTGGGCACAGCTGGTTCTGTAGGCTCATTGAAAGGAGGGGGGGGGGAGGTGAGGCTCACCAGGAAAAGATACTATTTGATCTTCTTCTGTTTCTTCGTTTTTGATGACAGTTAAACAGTCAGTCTGGTGGTGTGCTCAAACTGTTCAGTCGGCTTTCTGTCCCTAAGGCTGCCCTACAGTTTTCTCTCCACTGGTGTAGCATAGTCTGTAGTGCCATGTGTGTGATTTTACTATTTAACCTGATGTAGTGTATTCTGAGCATTTGAAGTACTGAAGCCAGTTCATCATGCATTGTATTGTGTAATAGATTCCTTCATGGCGTTTTTCATTTTCTCTCTTCTCTTTTCATGTGATTGAGTAGACTACCCTTATACTATACATACTAGACTACCGGTACTCAATAACTGGTCCTTTTCCCGTCTATTAAAATGTAACTTGGTCCTAACTTCCTAAGTATTGGCAAAGATTTTACACAAAAAGTGTATGCCCCTTTGGCCCTCCCTACTATTTGCAAACTGGGCAAAATATCTTTTGTCAACCTCATTGTGGCGGAGCCTTCTACTCTCATTGTGGCGGAGCCTTCTACTCTCATTGTGGCGGAGCCTTCTACTGTACTCGCTTTTATCATCCTCAACAGGAAGGATTTGGTTCCATTTACTGCTTGACGACACAGGGAAAAGTGGTTCATTTGGACACCGGACTCAGATTCCCAAACGGTATAGCTGTTGTACATGACGTGAACGGGCTGCCGGTAAAGCTCATAGTGGCAGAAACGCCGACGCGAATCCTCTGGGCTTACGACATTCAAGGACCTGGATCTGTCGCCAATAAAACAAAATGGGCAAAACTACCAGGTAAGATTTTGTGCTGTTTTTATCTTTGTGATGTCATGTGTAGGGATAGTGGCTAGTCCACCTATCAGAGACTCACTTTCCCATGATTCTTTTTCTTTTTAACAATCTTATCGTCGGCTTTGATGTAAAGGGAAGAGCCCAGCTGTTGCTGGATCGATCAAAACAACAACTGTCACCTGTAATGAATTTTATACATGTAACATTAGCCTACACTTAAAACTAATTTTTTTTATGGGTCGTTGTTCATTTACTTTCCTCATTTTGTATTCTGTTGGTCTCCTTCAAATGAACTGAATGCAGTGGAACTTTGCTTTCGAAACAAGGCATTTACATTTTTCTTCCATCTTACCACTGCAAATGAGAGTACAGTGGGTGTTATATTCAACGAGGTTGCCGGGACCGGCTTGTTGTCCTGATTGGATCCGACCTCTCGTTGAACGTGACTAAAGCTAAAGAAAAGAAAGGAGACAAGTTATTACATTACGTGATGTAACAATACCAGTAATTGAAACAATTGTTCCCCTCCGATGACGAAAATCTCAAACGTCAGTCTGCGCGTGTTTGAGCTGTGTTCTGACCGTCATTTCTGCTTTTTAAAACAATTTTTTTCTGGAACACTTCTCGTGTGGAAACATACCCTCTCACATCTAGGCCTAGATCTACATTAAGTCATAAAGTAAAGGTGGGAGCTTGGATTTTCTGATCAGGGGAAGAAAAGAAAATTGAAAAAAATGAAGGCCTCGATCTAGACCTACCCATCCAGAGTTCATCCAGTTTCACACAGCCCGCATCGCGTTCCTACCCTCCCCCTCCCATCCCTACTGTAGGCTAACCCTCGCCCATCCTCTTGGCTTTGGTGCCCATATTAATATTAGGAGGCACACTAGATCTAGCAATACAATGTGTTAGGAATCGAGGATGGGCCTTGTGCTTCGCGTGAGATGGAGAGAAAGGAGAAAAATTCTTCGCTTTTGGAGCTGCTTATTGCTTCTAATTGGTTATCACGACCTCATTGAAAGTGATTTCTGTCTGTTTGCAACCTCACTGGAGCTGACGTACATACAAAGAGGTATATAGGAAAAAAATCCAGGATTAAGGATTGCCTCGTTGGAGCCGACTTCTCGTTGAATGTGACTTCGTTGAATGCGACACCCACTGTATATATTTGTATTTGATTTTGTTAGTAGCATCTTAACTTCAAAACACGTTGGCGGAGAATGTGACTGGCTGATGCAGCTTTATTGCTCTGGTTTGGGTTGAGGATTTTTGTCAAACTCTGGAAAGTGTCTTTATTTCAGCGATAAAAACTTCGTGTATTTTCACTTGTGTCGCCCTTTTTAGTTTCCCACTTTAACTTTAACAAGCTGGGCCCCCTTTCGATGAAAGGAATGATCGGTGCTGTAATATCAACTAAAGGTCATTGGCCTACTATATTTACACTCTACTGGAATGGGGAAATAAATCTTGAGAGATGCAAAAAATTAGAAGGTCTAGATCTATATTCTCAAAACAAAATGCGCCTCGCGAAATATCACTTCCGGATTTTCTAAAATTACAGAGACAGAAGCGTCGGCCTGCAAAAGCAATCGGCAAAATAAAGAAATTTAGCTTTTTGCAGCAAAACTGTCTCAAAACTGAAAAAACCAAGGGCGCCATGATCTGGAGAATATTTTAATTTTAAAGAATTTTTTGGCAAAAACCGCATGTCGGTCAATGCAGCCATTAAAAAGCCTTTTGAATAGCAAAATTTGGCCACCACAAATAGATAATAGATACTGCTCAACGCATGAAAAAAAAAAGAGAGAGAGAGAGAGAAATAAATTAATGAAAAACATTGAAAGCCCTTCAGTCTTCTTCTTCTTCTTCTCGATCGCATCACACTTGAAGTCTGGTATCTGTCATAAATTGGGCCGTCCTGCTAAATTCATCTGTCGGCCCGTATAGCTTCTCTTGTAAGCCCTTCAGTGACCAGTACAGTTTTGTCGTAGGTTGAGTTTGTTTTTTGTTTTTGTTTTTTATTTCGCTTCAGATTGTGAGCAAGAAGGTGGCCCAGATGGAATGGACTTTGACGATGTGGGGAATTTGCTGGTGGCTCACTGGGGTGCCGGGCACATCGAAGTGTTTGGTCCGGACGGAGGCGAACCCATCAAGCGTATCAAGTGTCCTTTTGACAAGCCGAGCAATGTGCATTTTGAGCCAAACTCCAACATCGTGTACGTGACGGAGCATACGAACCACGCCCTATGGAAGTTCCAGTGGGAGAACAAGGGCATGCCTCAGTACTGTGATAAGAACTGATGGGACTCGTTCTTTTCAAGCACGAACCTTAACATTGTTTGCACTGTAGGAGTCCCCGCCCCGCCCCCCCCTCTTTCCCCCCCGAGTGAAATTTATTTGTGGTATATGCAAGACCTGGGTTATTTGAGTTATTTTTATCTCCCTGAGACAATTAAGGAACAAAGTCAAAGTGAAGATGCATCTGATGACGGGAATCCTATGTGGTATTTGTTTGTCATTATCACATTAAAAAAAAAATGTTTGGAAGTCAATACTCTCCTTCTGTACGTAAGAACGTATATGATATATATAAATGAAGTTGTTGATATTATCTCTGGTTTTTTTCACAGTAGACAAAATTTCTTTTACCATGTAAGGATCTCAAATCCTTGTTCTTTTTCTCTTTATTGCTATGCTGAATCTGCCACACACGCTAAAAAAATTTCGGCGGAACTGGTGTTAATGTCAACATGAGGGAATTTTGGGCAGCTATGATTTATCCAATTCCATGTTTTGTTATTTCTTTTGTTCTTAAATTAAGTACCGGTAGTAGCGTGAAAAGCCACCAAGTAATCAATTTAACCTCATTCTGTGTGGTCATGGTATTTGGTATCCATTTGTGGTTGAAAACAAGGTTTTTTAGGGTTTTTTAAATCTCAATCTTCAAGGGTTGCCAGCTCGGCAGATGTTATTAATGAATAGAAGTAGGTTCCACAAGGCCTAGCAACTGATCTGAACAGGAAGAAAGAGTTGTCTCCCCGTCTCCCTGGTTTTGCTCTTTTCATCAGCTCTCTGCTTAAACATGAAATCTACTTACCATGTAGGTCTGGTCCCATGTATGTCTCTTGGTCCCGTAAAGTTTGTGTTATTGAGGTTATACTGTATCCGTGCCATGCCTGTCTGATAGAGGACTACAGCTACCACAGGTACTTATTCCAGTGACATTCTATTTCCATGACACTCTTTTAAATTACTTTGTTTTTCTTGAATTTTTTAACGCCTACCAATTGAAATCTTTCAAGAGGCGGACTTAGATCATGCCTGTCAGGCCAACCCGGGCTGAGAGGGGTACAACATTCCAGCAGAAAGACTCAAGACGTTTGATAAAAATTCTCCCCGCAGAGGAATGGGAACTTGGGTCTCCTGCGTGTGAATAATTTTCTTGATTTGACTGTTTCCATGGAACGATTCTTTTTTTTTCTTCCGATCCTTACTGTTTGAGTGTTTGCGCTGGTATTTGTATTTTTTATACTGTTTGTGTTGGTATTTGTATTTTTCATACTGTTTGTGTTGGCATGATCTCTGATTCTGAGATGTTGTTGTAGTGTTAATGTTACTGTTGCATGCATGTATTCAAGGACCTCTAGTCTATGGTTTTTGAAATGTTCTACAGTTTACCGCTACACCACAATGTGAAAGTGAAAGGGGATTCGGTGCTTTTGTTGTCTGGTGGAGGGAAGATTTTAGCAAAAATGTTCAGCAGTGTTTGTTGCTTCTGTCCGCCAAGTGTATTTGTGATTTATACGTTGTAGGTCAGATGGTGAAAACAAATGTTGCTGGAAATTACACATTTAAAAAAAGATTCATGTTTGTAATCTCTAGGTCTTTTGACTCAATAAATCCAAATTATCATTATGCAATCATAACTTTTTTATATGATGGAAATATATATTTGCAAATGTGAATTTTCTATTCCCAGAGCTTTAATAAACAGAGAAATATTGACGTTTGTTATGAGATGCTTTTTCATCAGTAAAACTGTGACAACTGTCCACTTTCTCAATGCAAAATCTCTGCGCTGACTTGGGCTTGATGAGCGAGTCGGCAGAGGGCTCACAATGGCCACGGGAAGCGTTGCCTCTCTTGCTATAATAATAGTAATAGTGTCTGGTTTGAATGCTGGTACATGCAGGTTTCAGTGAATGAAACGTCATTTTTTCATACCCCCTAGAGTTGGCACGTCCAAATGCCTCTTGCTTTCACGGACTATGTACAGAGATCGTTTGCAAATTCTCCACAGGATGCAAACACTGTAGCATGTGAACACGGGAGATGTTATAGATTAAGATTCTGCCCATCTGGTCCTTTGAGCCCAGCTCCTTGGGTCTACAGGACTGGCATATATCCACTCTCGTCCAAGTCAACAGCTGGATTCAAACAACCACACGCTCACACTGAGACAAGCATTCTCAGTGTGCAGAAGGGTCAAAGTAGCGTACACTTAACGTACATACAGGTGTATAGGGTTTAAAAAAAGGCAAATAGTGGCAATGTGAACAATAAATTTGGGAATTATTCTCTATGTGTGAATTTTTTAATGTAGGTGTTTTATTCCCCTACTGGCACAATGAAGATCAGTTAGGAGGCCGGCTTCTATATGTCTCGGCCAACCTGGTCTGAGAGGAATACGGAAAGACCAAGATAATCAAATTCTCACCACACAGGAAGTGGTATCAGGTCTTGTGTTTGCTATGGCTGAGCGCCCAACTGCTACCGCACTGACACTTGTTCAGATGTCTGAAATAGTACTCTACTAACCATTACAATAATATGTGAGGCAGCGTGGTGAAATCATGCACTCGTCAAAATAAAGTGAAGAAACTGGCGTTTTTCCGCAGCTTTGGGAATTTTTATCGAATTTGTGTATTTTGGCTTAACACCTTTCATGCCCATGTAAGAACACATTTCTGTGTGAATTTTACTTTAAAAAACATTGATTAAAGTTATTACGACTCGCAGTACCAACCCCCCTAGTTTTCACAGGGAATACATTTTTTAAAAAATTCAAAATGTGCCATCTGGTGTGAGGGCATCAAATAGATCGACGGTGTGATCTGTGGACTTTCTCTGGTGTCCATCATATATTGTTTTGGTCCCCACTCTATGCATAATTTGAGCCATTCCATGCTACTTGTGTCACTGTGCCATTACCAACTCTACTTTTGCATACATCATGTCAAAGTGTCTGATTAATTCAAACAAAGTCTCTGATTTAGCGGAGAGTAATGTTGCCTCCAACTTTTAAAAAAAAATTCTATTACTGGAAAAAATTTTCTGCAGCAATGTCACCATCATTTCTGCAGTTTCCCATAATTTCATGGAATGGTCCAATATTGTACATTATATTTAATGGACTGTTTTTTGCCAACTTGACAGTAGCACTCAGTGCTGTGATAGGACTAACATCAATAGGTCGCTTTTATTTTTTAATTCAAGGGGGCTATCCCGAAAAACGCTGCTTTGAAAAAATCGAAGGTAAAGTTTTTGCCCCTTGTTCAGTTTCTTTAAAAGACAAGGAGAGTTTTCTCTATAACCAAACAAATACACATACCAGTGAAACCAAACTTCTCCTATAGGTAGGGCAATATCCCACTTTTGGTGTAGGTCAAGATTTCTGGAAACCCCCGAAATCTGGGTTAGCCCGTTTGTCCTTAAAAGCGACCAATTCATCATAATGAAACAACAAACATGCTGGCATGTTTTACTCTAACTCTAAAGATAGAAGAATTACAATGACACTTCTTTAACACTTTGCAGTCACACGGCTAGCAGTACAAAATACCCCATCTGGTCACCCGTCCGCGAGAGTGACTGCAACGGACCTTTAGCGTCTGAATTGCGCCAGGTGACCGGAACGGATAATTCTCACTGGCGCATTATTGCGGCAAGTGACCGCAAAGTGTTAAGCTTAAGGATCTTGTATAGCATGACTCAGGTTGAAAACCCCTTTCAGTACAGGAAGGTTATTATTAGGAGGTGCGGATGGTAATAAATGATGTCTTTTAGTTTTAGTAAGTGTTTTTACGGCACTTGCAAAACAATAAAGTCATATAAGTGCCAAAGATTAGAGGTGTTACAAGAGAGTAACAAACAAAAAAGAAGGAGAGATAAGGACAATAGATGTTTGATAGGAAAGAAGAAGCAAACCACACCAGAGCACCAGAATGATGTCTAACTTGGACTGCGAAAAGGACTGACACACACATATAAATAAAAGTCGAGTAAAGAAAGAGGCCAAACAAATAAACTTTGTTGTTTTATGAAAATTTATTGTTACACCATACACTCGGTAACAATCTATCACTTTTACAGAAATTATATTGTGAATCACAACAAATTCCCAATAAGTTCTCAATGGCAAACACATTCATCATTCACATAAGTTTCAAAGTGCAATACACTCACATAGACAACCTGCTCCCCCCCTTCCCCACACTACAATTTCTGAAAGAGACATTTCAAATCAAAACACCCCAGAACGCGCGCCCAATTTTCTATGCTCTCTTCAAAGTAATTGTTTCTAATTCAGACAACTAATGGAAAAGGTGAATTTAGTCCAGAGCCTTCTGCAAGGCTTCGTAACATTCTAGAGCGATCTGAGCCTCAGCCTTGGCCGTCTCGGAGGAAGCAGATGAGAGCTCTTGCTGCGCTTTGCTGAAGCCCTCTCGGATAGCCTGTAGTGGACAAAATTGTAAATATATCATATATATGTTTGAATTAGTGTACAAAAAAAGCGCATCAACAGCCCATTTAGAAATATGGAAAAAAGACACACAACAGAGGAAAAGAAGGAAGTATAACATACCAGTGTCGCCCACTGGAAACCTTCTTAAAAATGCACACTGAGAAGACAAAACTAACATGTAAATTGATAGTCATACGCAGAAACAGGAATTTTTTTTTAAAAAGAAAAAGGCTGTTGATGAAAGAATACAGATTCTATGAAAACTCAAATGAAAATACAAAACTGACAACAACAACAACAAATGTCTATATAGACTTCTTCAGATTCAACAGGCATTAACACATGTTCATGTTTTTTATAACCAGATTTTGACTTTTAAAAAACTTAAACTTAACAGTAAGCACACTCAACTTACAATTCAAATTTCAAAACGTGCACGGCATGTAAATTCTTCATAAAAACCCCCTCAAAATGTTGCAAGTCACTTCATGGCGACAAGCATAGAACACGACCCAAAGATAACTTTGACGCAAACGAAAAGATCTTAAATAGAAGCTGAATATGCTGTGGATGCTTTTACCATCGTAACATGACTTAGCAGATCTAATATTGTGCAATCAACAAAATTATCGAAAGCCCAATACAGTGGAAACCTTATATAACAGGGATGGTGGGAGTAGAGAAAATGTCCTGTTATATCCGATCCCTGTTACATCAGAAATGCAAGGAAAGTAAGCATTTGTGGACTAATCCAGCTGTAGTTATTCATGGGTAGTTTCCTTTGCCACAAGTACCCACGAACAGGGGTTTTGGCACCAACTTTCTCCTTGCCTCCTTAAACCACATCAGAAGAGCTTGTTCCACGGCATCTGCATCGGGTAGTCTCATCTTCTTTCGATCCAGAGCAAACTTTCCATTGGAGTATGCTGCTACTATCTTCTCTCTATCCTTGATAATGGTGTGAATCGACCCTTGTGGAATGTCGAACTGACGACAAATCTCTGCCAGTGGAGCTTGCTTTTTGTCAACGGCCTAGATTATTTCGTATTTTTTTGTCACTTTAAAGGCATTTTTTCTTGCTCTTGACATCGTTTGTGACAGTAGACGACACATTACGCGTGCGTGTTGCTAGGTTTTGGGCTAGATCGAGGTCTGCAGCACACCTCAGCCCTCTTGCCTCTCGCTTCACACGCTGCGTGTGCTTGCAGTGGCATTGCTTGCATGGGCTTGCTCTGTCACTGCGTTACTCTCTCTCTCTCTCTCTCTTACTTTTTACACATTGTTAACGAGCCTTTGTCCCTGTTATAACCGGTTGGGCTCCGATGGGGTCCTGTTATTGCCGATAACTTTTAATAGAGACAAAGAGTAGGAAAAATCGGGGATATTAAGTATCCGTTATTACCGGATCCCTGTTATTACCAGGCCTGTTATATATGGTTTCCACTGTATTTCTACTTCTTATCCACAGAAAGCCATGTCTTAGAGAGAAATCCATGCCCTTTTATAAAATTGGACAAAACATCGGTAAAGAGAACAGATAATGCTCAGCTAAAAGGAATTTGAACACCATGAACCTGCAACTGCAAGGATAGTAGTGAATAGCTCTTTGCAAGCTTTCTAATTAGAAAAAATCTCATCACCTTTACAGTTGTTAGAGCTATGAGAACTCGTTTTCCTGAGACCTAAACCCATTATTAATTCAGAAAAAAAAATATACACAGAAAATGTCAACCTTGAATAATAAGATAGTAAGTGGTCACTACTGGAATTTATACAAAATACCAGTTATTTCAGCGAGACGAGAAAGTAAAAATAAATCACTCACGGCAGCATCCAGTCTGTCCACTGGGTGAGCCTCCTCAGCCAGGACCTGAACCGACGCGTCATCGTTGATGGTCACAGAACCGCTGCTCACTGTGGCCAGGCAAAACAAAAACATCATGAGGAAAAGTGTCTAAATGAAGCCATTCATTCAACAAACTTATGTGTAGGCCTACAAAGTGCTTTGCAGGAAGAAGAAAATCATTTCACAACTTGTCACTGTCACTAGAAAAATTAATAACTAAAACTTATTTGCTAATAACCCGGTGAAGTATGGTTCGTTTAAACCAGAGAACTGAAATGCCACAACAGACAACAAATAAAACAGCTCATCAATAGAAATATGCATGGTACTGCAAAGCTGCCTTGATCAAACCTTAATGACAATCCACTATCTTGGCACTGAAAACAGATCATTGAAATCACAATATCAAAACTAAACATCTTAACAGACAAGGAAGAAAGTGTCCATTGGCACACGTCTTTCAATAAACTGCATTTCTATTGTTGAAATCCCATAACAAGAGAAAGCACTAATAATAGTGTGTTCATCAACAGTAAAAAAATATTTCTTTTAAAAAAAAGCACCCCCCCCCCACGACACCAGCAGTTACAAATAAACTTGTCCACTTACCAAAGTATTTCTTTTGAGAGCCATCTTCCTCGAAGACGTTGACCACTCCGGGCTTCAAGACGGCCAAAGTGGGCACGTGGTCCGGGAGAATACCGAAATTTCCACTGAAGGTAGGGACATCGATTTGCTTCACCTTTGCGTCTTTGTAGTAGACCTGTGGGAACAAGATAGATTGAAAATAATTTGTGAGTTTTAGAGACGAGTGTCTCTTTCTAACTTTCTGCTATTACTGAGCACTTCCAGGGTGAAGATGCAATAAAGTAATTGGCACACTAACTGGACTCACTCGGTATATCATGCCAAAAGCACGAACAGCCTGCTGCATCAAAATGAAGGCGAAACAAAATAATGTGATTCTCTTAAGGTTTGTGAGCTTATCAATCATTTAATACAACACACTTTGTTGAACATGAAACTTACATGAAATTCCTAAACGATTTCAAACCCTATTTTATATCAACCCCCCCCCCCCCCTCTTAATTCTATTCATTGCAATTTCTCTTAAAATTCCAGCAGATCTGTAAGCAATAAAATAATAATAGATTTTTTTAATGCGTAATTTAAGGAGTTTTGGGCTATGGTGTGACAGTTTCATCATTCTCTGTCCTTAGTACAGTCCAAGGTGAATTTTTTAGTACAAAATTACAGTACAGTAAGTAAGAGAAAAGAATGTCTCGCATCACATCCACTACCGGAAGTCAGCTCCTTCACCACTTTAGTGCCGTCAGATGAAGAATAGGGTCAGTGTTTTTAAAGTTAAGGCTTAGTTAGGCTTTTTTTGGTTTATTATACATGCTTTTGTAGTCATTAGGGGGGTTTCAGGGGGTCCACCCCGATGAGTGAGCACGTCATTGCTGTGCAGTAGGGGGGATGGGGTCTGTAATGAGGTGCCGTAGCCGTAACATTTAAACTAGTCAAAGCATTTGCGATGTTTTTTAATTGTGCCAAAAACGTGCTCAGGGCCCTAAGAAGCTACAAAATAATACCTTATAATATGAAACGGGAGTGATTCTATAAATTTATCAAAAAGAATTAAACAGAAAACAATGGTAGATCTAGTGTACTAGGAAAACTTGCAAGAGGCATTAGAGGTTAAATTGAACTTTACTTTTTATGTAGTAGCCTCTATGACTATGATGCCTGAATCCACCACCAACTAGTCTGAAATAAAACGGAGTGTCTACGTGTACATGGTAACTGGGCACGTAGTCTCAGAGTCTACGTACACAGTAACCCGAAGGTCCACCCTCGTTCTTCACAGAAGTATCGTGTTGTGCGACTCGCCGTGTTGTGTGTGCACTGTGACACGAACTCACACATTCTCCGATGTATGCACTGTGTGAGGCCACATTGTTTGACAATGGCCATTTCAGCTGCCTGTTTTTCTCTATCCAAGTTCATAGTATACACCTTGTGTAGATCTAGATCTAGATGCACGACTACTCCATTTGACCCCTACAGCGGGACTTTACCCGAATCACCTTTTTTCTATGTGTTTAAAACTTAATTACATCTTGGGATTAGTGGGGCAAGGCAAGGAAAGTCCCGAAGTTGGATACAGCTGGAGAGATCGAGCGAGCTGTATCTGGGGGAAGGGGGTTGGGCGATGAGGTGGCTGTAGGAGGGCTCCAAACAGGCAGTCAGCGGTGCTGCGTTCAAGTTCAAGTGATTGGCCAGTCCAGTGATGAGCGGGGGGGTGTGTGTGTCGAAGCAGCAGTTACCTAGCCCAAAGGGGCCCCCGAAACTAAGTACCCGGTTACCGTGTGCATAGATACTGAGATTATGTGCCCTGTTACCGTGTTGGCGAGTACACGCAGACACTCCAGAAATAAAATGTTTAGTCTGGGAAAAGGAAGTGGCTATTCTCACCCGGGGTGAGAATAGAAATACGATCGACCTCTCACCCCGGGTGAGACTTGCCACCGTAGGCTATTCTCACCCGGTGTGAAACAAGACTTGTTTTTCCTAATTTCGGAATACTTTCTATCAATGTGGATGATCAAATGGATAAAGGCAAAGAAAAGATTACATTATAGTATAGCACAAAAGTAAGCTAATTTTATCGACTACTAAGATGTTATATGGCTATTTCACTTTTCGAATCGAGCCGAACAACGGGGGTCGCCATTTTGTTTTGCCCGGAAGTTCCCGCAAGATCTACTCCTCCCCTCTTCTCTTTCTGAATACTGTCTATCGGTGTGGACGATCAAATTGACCAAAACAAAATTTTAAAATGATGTTAAAACACAAAAGTAAATTAATTTGGTTGTCTACAAAGATGCTACGGCTATTTAACTTTTCGAATCGAGCCGAAATATGAGGTTCGCCATTTTGTTTTGCCCGGAAGTTCTCGCGCTACTACTCCCCTCTCTCTCTTTCTCTCTCTCCACTGCCCACAGACAAAATTGTACGTTTTTAGTTTTAGTAGGCTAACAGTAGTAATGGAACGTTTGTTCACGGCACAGAATACTACAATTTTTCTGTTATCACAGTGTAGAATTCTGTGGTTTAGGGTGAACGCAAAATTGGTTGGCCTAGATCTCGGCTATAACGGTGAACGCGCACTGGGTGAGAATAGCCAAAAGACTCGCCTGCACTATTCTTACCCCGGGTGAGAATAGAGGTGGCCCTGGGAAAATTTCCCACACAACAACTGCAGCTGCATCATGAGGCATTTTTGCTGTTGGTGTTTCTGCTTTCGAGCTTGGAGATTTGTGACTTGTCAAAATAACAGCAGGACTAGTCTATATCTCCTAGATATGGAGGAGATAGAGTGACGACAGGGGCAAAAAGAGAGTTAAATCTAGATTCTAGATCTAGATCTAGATCCAGATCTAGGGTTCTAGATCTAGATCTAGAGGCTGAGGAATGAGAGTTTTAGAGGTGACTGCTCTACTCTGTTTATCGGAGATAGGTTACTGCTAAGCTGAGGTATCATTGGTAAAGATAAATAAAAGTGAACAAAGAAAGAAAAGCACTCACGTCATAAGGTGAAGCAAATGTGAATGCCATGTCAGCATAGCTTCGGTGAGAAGCTGCTGAGAGCCTGACACTCTGCTGAAGGAGACGGGGAGCCCGGCTTACTTGTCTCGCAACGATGGCAGCCATTTTGGTCGGACAGTTCCAAGGGCGTAAAGGGAAGTCATGCACCTTTACTTCATTGAACATTTTATTTCTAGACAAGTTGTCTCCCATGCGCGAAAGACTTCAAGCGCGTTTCAACGGTTCATCGCAACAACAAAAAAGAGCCTTATCAAGATTTATGAGTTTTCTTTACACTGAAAATTATTTGTAGGCCTGCATACTTGAGACAAGCTGACAGGACAAAGAACAGAACATAGATAGCGGCAGAAAGCTAGATAGATAAATAGACAGATAGACACCTGGCTCACTAACAAAAAGACGGCCACACAGTGAATGAACACATTAAAGTACATGTATTTAAAGTAACAGTCAAACGATGCGCTTGTTAACATTGTCAGCGCTTTACACAACCAGCAACGCAATTAAGAATCATGTAGGACTGACACAGGCAAGTGGTCCCAATTCACGTGCCTGGTTAGGTCGTTCTGAATATTTCATGGACCAAAGCAGGAGAAAAATGGGTGGAATTGGTTGAAATCTAGGCTTAGGTTGAAATACATAAGCTTTTAAAGTGAGATGAAAATTGATGTCACTCAAGGGCTTTAAATGAGATTTAAAAAAATAAATTAGATATAGATATCTATATTGTTTATTGTTGGGTTGGAAATATTTGATTTTGATTTTCAAGACAACCAGTTTTATAGTTTTATTTGTATTACCGTACTTATATGTGACTCATGTTGTTGTTGATTTTAGAAAAAAAGAAATTGCCCCTGCAGCCACTCGAAATTAAATATGAAAACATCGAGCAAGTGTCAGACTATAAGTATTTGGGTGTTACAATAGACAACAAACTCAACTGGCGTGTCCACACTTCTCTCCTGCATAAAAAAAGTGAACAAAAGACTATTTTTTCCAAGGAAGCTAAAGTATTTTAAAGTTGATAAACGTTGATGTCCACTTTCTATCATTCAACCATAGAAAGTATGATAAATTTTTGCATAACAGCATGGGCCGGGAACACGAGACAACAAGATAAAGAAAAATTAAATCGACTATATGGAAAGCATGTAAAATGTCAACATCTACATTCCCGTACTTGGATGAATTGTACATAACAGCTTGCACTAAAAAATTAATTCCATCTTTTCGGACAACAAGCACCCCTTGTTCCCTCAAATGAAAACATCAGTCAGAAGTAAAAGACCTATGCTTCTGATCTGTAACAAAGAAAGATACAGAAGGTCATTTTTACCATCATCCACCAAAATTCTTCCGTCTTAACCATCTTGTATAAGTATTCATATGACCATAGAGCATGCATCAGAATAACATTGAGTATGTATCTAGCTTAAGATTATTATTGCTTATATTGCTACTCATTTATATTATGCATGTGATTGTAAGCCTGCGAGTGTGTGCATGTTTGTGTGTGCGTGAGTGTGTGTGTGTGTGTGTGTGTGTGCGCGCGCGTGGTGAAACACCAAACCAATGTGCCAGGATCTGGACTATAAGGATGTACCTTATCTTATTTTATCTTCACGGGCCACATTTATTTTAATTCATATTAAGTAGTGGGTCGACTTGCAGGTCAGACTGACAGGGCTCACAGGCTGGGCTGGATTTGTGGGATGTAATTTGCCCATGCCTGATGTAGCTGCTTTGAACTTGCCTGTCATGGCCAATAATTATAAAGGCGGAATGGGATACAGCATCTCCAGCAGACAGATGAAGATAACGGATAAAATATCTTTCCCATTTAGAAATTGAACTCAAGCCCTCTGCTTGTAACAGCAAAGAGCCTAACCACTACACCATACACCAGCAAGTTGCACAGAGTATTTGTCTGTTGACCACATTCACAGACTCTTTCTGTCATGGTTTTTATCGAGCGGGAGCAGGGAAACTCTATCTAACACAATTGGCCATGACAGTAAAATTATTATCAAATATTAAATAAAAGTGTTGAATTTTCAAGCAACGTTGGCCTCTCATACTTCATGTGTAGAAAGTGTTTATAAGAGTTTGGGAGAGGTGTTGAGGGTTTACAAAGGTGTAAAAATATGTAAGAAATATCGTCACATCGTTTCTACTCCACTGATTTCCCCCAGTTGTAGGACGTTCTTGAAAGCAACCCCTGCCATATTCGTTTGTTTGTTTTGGTAGAGGTTTTTCGGCGCTCGCAACTGCATAAGGTCATAGGAGCGCCAGAAGATTAGAGGTGTTACAAGAGAGTAACAAACATAAAAAAGAAGAAAGGGAGATAAGGACGATAGATGTTTGATAGGAAAGAAGGAGCAAACCACACCAGAGAACTCGCCAACCACCCACTGCCATATTCAAGTGAATACTGTAGGCCTACCTTGCAACACTGAAATCTAATCAAGACCTGAAAATCCTTTCATCGTTTTACCTAGGACCTGTCCTCTCATTATCAACACAAAGTTATACATGCAGTTGTTTGAGTTTTTTTAGTTAGTTTTATTAAGAGTTTTACGGCACTTGCAACACAATAAGGTCATATAAATGCCGAAGATTAGAGGTATTACAAGAGAGTAACAAACACAAAAAAAGAGGATGATAGATGTTTGATAGGGAAGAAGGAGCAAACCACACCAGAGCACCCGCCAACCACCCAATGTTGAGCTTGATTAAAGAGAAGCACATTAACACATCAATGTTCATTTAGTGCAAGAAAAAAGACAGATAGACAGAAACAAAAAGAGAGAAAGAAAAGAAGTAGGACGTACCAGCGGCACCTCCAAATAACCAAAACAAGTGGTGAGGAACAAGAAATAAGATATTAAGATCAACAAAGCACTTCATTTGAAAAAATTTATTCAGCTGACACAACAACAGACAACATTTGAATAAACCCAGAGATGACATACATCATGATGATCCAGAACTCCAGTCATGATCACATCCATACACAGGACAACACATGCTAGGAACAACTGATTCATAACACACTCGGTATCTTTGCTCATTCACAGAACGTGTGAGTGGGAGTAGGAAATGAGTTTACAGGATTCTCTACACCCCAGATGTGCACTGAACACAGTCACTTCATTTGTTCATTCATTCATTCGTTCGTTCATTCATTCATTCACTCATTTGTTTATTCATTCATTCATTCATTCATTCATTCATTCATACAGAAATGTTTCATGTAAAAACAAATGTGAGGCAGCGTGGTGGAATCAGGCTCTCGTCAATTTTGGGGCATGAAGAGTTATTGTTATCATCTTAAAGCTTGTTCACTTGTCTTTATTTAGATTTTAAAAATATCCATGTATCTTAAATACAAGTCGATACAAGTCGAGATATTTGTTAAAGAATGAGGACGGGGTCTCTTGTTTTCAGAGGTAAAATTAGTGAGAAAACGGCCTCCAAAGATTAGATATATCCTTAGCTTAAGAGTCGGTGGTAACTGAAAATTTACTTTTTTTGTGCCTTTTATTAAACTTTTCTGAAAAATCCACACAGAAATGAGTTCTTAATGGGCATGAAAGGTGTTGAGCCAAAAAAACAAAAATTTGATAAAAAATTCACAAACCTGCGGAAAAATGCAAGTTTCTTCACTTTGGTTATTTTGACGAGAGCCTGATTCCGCCACGCTGCCTCACAAACGCACTTGACCATGTTTCTTTTACCCTTCCCAATCAGCAGACATAATGAATGGGTACATTAAAAGATGGACATTGAATGTTCGTACATGATTTCAATGTAGTTTCTTAACAAGTAATTATGATGAAAATAATAACAGAATGCATTTTATATAGTGCATAGTCCTAACAAAAAATAGGCTTACGCATTTCACAATTCATTACTTCGCGGACAGACCATAGAACATTTTCACTTTCCCGGGAAGATCTGAGTACACTCTGCCATCTTGCAGACGTTCAAACTTTGAGCATACAGACAAGGTCTTCCAGGTTTTGCCTGGGTATCCAATCTCACCAGCGTGAAGGGAGCAAAATTTTGGTAAAGTGTCTTTCCCACAGACATAACAACACACCTGGACAGGGATTTGAACCTGTAGTCTTATAATGGCAAGTCCAGCAATCTCAACAATAGGCTACTGATGCCAAAATCTGCAGCAGTACGGGAACTTGGGGAAACATGAGCAGAAAAAGATAGGCCTATATATACATATAACAAATGATGTGAAGTTTTTTTCCCCTTTCAGACACATATTGTATTACATCAACAACCTCTCAACCATTCTCTTGCTGTTCAAAGCAAAATCTTGCAAAAATAACGACATTAGGGTTGGGTCGGGCTCGCCAAATTAGTGTTCGTGAGTAACGAACTACTCGCTGGCACTACCCGCAAACGAGCGGACGGGTAACGAACTGTCCGTTTGTGAAGAGTAGTTCGCTACTCGCTACACATTGGACAGAGACAACAGTTTGTTTAGCGAGCGGGACTGACATAAGTCAAATAATACGTCTACTATCTCTTCATGAGCAAGAATTGTGCAGATAAGACTGAGCCCCAATAGGCAGCAACTGTCAGTACTTCATCATGTTTTTACAAGTAATACCTGGAGTGACATATCTGCATGACAGAAGAACCACCAGAGTGAACCTGTTCTGATTTGCTTTTACACAATCACCTCATAATAGCTACTTAACTACGAGTCAAACTGAAAATATTTACCAGAAAGATCCTGCACTTAAAATATCCACCCATGAGCAACTACATCTAGGCAGTTACACATTGTTATGCTTCAAAACTCCAACCACTCACTGGTATACTCAGCATAAGAGGAAAGATGAAAGTAACATTCAACATTCCAAAAATGAGTTGATAAAATTTAGCCAGAAAACAGTCACATAAGCTGCGATAACATCAACTCATGAAAGAACAATGCTCAACAGTAGTCCCCCAGTAGTTGCACATACTACTGTATATGACACATACAGCATTCTCCACCCAATAACATAAAACCTGTGCTGCCATCTGTGTTGGAAAGATTCTCTCAGACTTTTCTTTGCCATTTGCATCAACGTCAGCCCTCAGATCACGACACCGTCGTTCAACTGTCATCAGATGACCGAACTTGCTTCTTGGGCGGGGCTTGGAGACGGTTGGCCTGAGAACAGAAGTTCGAAACATTTGAGTAATTCTGATGGATAAAAAATCAAGTACAGTGGTACAGAATTTATAAATACCAGAACAAAAAAAGAAGGAAAAAAAAAAAGGTGAACAGTACAGCCAACAAGCTTACCGAGACATCATCGTTGTTGCAAGAATAAGAGACCAACTTCAATGATTTTCCCTTACCTTGTCAAGTTGGATCAATCAGGGTCACTTATTTTTCAGAATGACAAAGTTCTATTTCACATTTTGGGCTGTTTTAAAGTTACTAAGACCATGAGGTTAGAAACCGAATGTTCTATCTGCTCTAAAAATCATGAGACTATACAGAGTCGTTATCAAGATACGGTATTCAAATTGCATTTGAAAAAACTTGATGACATGTTGTGAAACTCAAAAATTTTGACAGTCAACTTTCTCAAAACTAGGTGCTGAGCAGACAGACCTTGGTAATTCTAGGGTCGCGAACTGTCAAAATCTCTATAGCAGTTCGCGTCACCGAAGCTGCTACTGCCCACGCACAGCCATACCCTTGCTTGATTTGGTTTGAGTAAAGAGAAGTGTATCGACACAATTAACCCTTACAACCCTATACCGCTGGTAACCGCTGACGCCGTATTTTCCTATACCGCTGGTAACCGCTGGTCGACTTTATCGTTTAATTCCCAGTGCTAGAAACAGGGGATGTAACTCCAGATGACTCTGTCGCGAGCAGAAAGTACCGATAATGTCATGAGAGCAGTTCTACACTGAAAGTTAAGAAAAATTGGTCACTTTTCGCTGCCAGGCCCTTCAGGCCGCAAAATTTTGACATTTTTGATCCTGAACCAGACCCCAATAATGATCTCCAGTCGGATATATCGATAAATATGAACGTTGAAGACGATTGCAATGTTCCGCATAACATCGATAATGATCTTGACGATAGTGGAATTGGCAGGAGATCACCACTAAAGCTACCAGAGGCTAGATCTACGGCTAGGTCTAATGATACTTTGACTGAAGTGGAGTCGAGGATCACACACAAGACTTAACTCATAGAGTTGGTCCTAAAAGCCAGTGTTTTAACCTTTTCCCCTTTTGTCCAGACTGTTCATTCATATATAAAGAACATTTTCAAACTTCAGTAAAATCTAACAACAATTAAAGACACAGTCAATAAAACAATGAACCAACCTAATTTTTTCTAGTATCTCAATTTTAATTCAGGGTTCTAGGGAGGTATGAAAAAAAAAAGAATTCAGGGTTTTAAGGGTTAATTTAAACTATTTAGTGCAAAGAAAAAGCAAGACTGACATACAGGAAAAAACAAACATCAGGAGGGTAAAGAAACACGTCCTGTCAGCGACACCCTCTAAACAACCCCGCCAAACCCTTGTCCTAGTTGACCCAAAAAGTTTTATCATAAAACTGAAACAAAAGAAAATCAACCCAAAACCCACAGATGAAGTTTCTCCGAGTAATTTTAAGAAAAAAACACCAAACACCGACCTTGAGAAAACCTCTGTGCCTCTTGAGGTCGTCGACCCGAGCGTTGTAGAAGTCGTAGACAAACTGGGCCATCTGAGGCATGTCTGTGATGACGATGGGCGACTCGTCCGGGGCCTCTTGGAGCTGGAACCACGCCAGATTGGACGGTTAGTTTGTCGGAGCAAAGACAAAGGTAGGGTTTTTTACATCCTTATTGACACAGTTTAGGTCATATAGGGGGCGGGGTTCCGACCCTGCCTGTCAGTCAAGGCCAGCTGGGCTAATAGGGATACAGCATCCCGGCAGAAAGATAGGGGATACAGCATCCCAGCAGAAAGATAGGGGGATACAGCATCCCAGCAGAAAGATAGGGGGATACAGCATCCCAGCAGAAAGATAGGGGGATACAGCATCCCAGCAGAAAGATAGGGGATACAACACCCCAGCAGAAAGATAGGGGATACAGCATCCCAGCAGAAAGATATGGGATACAGCATCCCAGCAGAAAGATAAGGATACATCCCAGCAGAAAGATAGGGGGATACAGCATCCCAGCAGAAAGATAGGGGGATACAGCATCCCAGCAGAAAGATAGGGGATACAACACCCCAGCAGAAAGATAGGGGATACAGCATCCAAGCAGAAAGATAAGGATACATCCCAGCAGAAAGATAGGGGGATACAACATCCCAGCAGAAAGATAGAGATACATCCCAGCAGAAAGATAGGGGATACAGGATCCCAGCAGAAAGATAGGGGGATACAGCATCCCGGCAGAAAGATAGGGGATACAGGATCCCAGCAGAAAGATAGGGGGATACAGCATCCCAGCAGAAAGATAGGGGGATACAACATCCCAGCAGAAAGATAGGGGGATACAACATCCCAGCAGAAAGATAGAGATACATCCCAGCAGAAAGATAGGGGGATACAGCATCCCAACAGAAAGATAGGGGGATACAGCATCCCAGCAGAAAGATAGAGATACATAATTATATAACATAAATTTGTTCCCACTTGGGAATCAAACGTGGGTCTCCTGGGTGCAAAAGTGAAGCACCTAACCCTTAGACCACACACGCTGGTTGAAGTAATGAGAAGTACATTGAGACCAGTTTTAGTAGAGGTTTTACGGCGCTCGCAACTGCATAAGGTCATAGGAGTGCCAGAAGATTAGAGGTGTTACAAGAGAGTAACAAACATAAAAAAAGAAGAAGGGGAGATAAGGACGATAGATGTTTGACAGGAAAGAAGAAGCAAACCACACCAGAGCACCCACCAACCACCTAGGTACATTGATACCAGTCATTATGCGCAGGGAAAGAGCAAGACGGACAGACAGAAACAACAGCTTTCAAATCATCAACGATTAGGACAGAGCAAACAAAGCAGTAAAATCATTGTCAAATAGAACTGACTAAACAGAAAATGATTCACCAAAAGAACTTCATTTCTTTTTTCCGGTTACTATTAAATGTGCACAAATATATGATAGTAAATAGTTTTCATGTGTTTCCAAACCAAACTGAACAGTAAAACTAATGATACAATATATTAACATGACATCAAGAAACCACAAAACCAAGTCTGAAGCATGCCACATTTCTGATCATCAGGAATTTTTAAAGTCACAGGTCACATACAAACAAAGGGAACTACTGACCTTTCTCTGAGTTGGGTATGTTTCATTGGGCAACAGATGTAACACTTGGGGTCGTGAGGTCAGCTGAGATCGAGGCAAAACAGAGAACAGAATAATTATAATAATCTCAAAAGCAAGAATTTATGAGTCACCCCTTCCATTCACTCTCTACAAATGAAAATTTACATATCATGAATTACAACAAAATATAATAATAATTAATAAATGACATTTCTATAGCGCTCAACCCTGATTAAAGTACACAGGCTCTGAGCACTTTACAATACAGTACAACGTACAACAGTAACTTAAAACGTGTTCTGACTAAAAGAAAATCGCTCCAAATATCCATCTTACTAATTTTAAAACAAATATGAAAGTAATCACTGTTTACGTTCTACAAGCTTTATTGTGTATATTGAAAGGCCTTACGCCGTGCCGCACAAAGTGAATTTTAAGATGGTAAAGAGAAAAAACAACCGATGCAGCTTCTCTGGAAAAATTACTACAGGATAACACGGATAGCTCGAATTCATCGGGACCAGCCTCGGTAGTTTGAAGGATCCGTAGTTCGACGGATATTTTACAAAGATAAAGAAGAAAAAAAAAAACGTGATTCCGAGTCTTCTGTTTGCGACGTATCTGTGATATACTGAAATTACATTAACCCTTCCAGCCCCAGCCATTTTTGTGCACTCCCTAACCCCAGTCCCAGCCAATACAGCAGTAGTTCAGAAAAAGAGGCATTATTTCTAAAAAGTGATGTAGTATCTTTGTAATGTAGCTTTGATAATAACATATACCAATTTTTAAGGATAAATGAACAAGTAATAAGAAAATTAAAGTTTAATCAAGTTCGCTAATTTCGAAAAATGCGCGAATTCGGTACCCCCCCGAAACTGAGAATATACGCTCTTGGGACGGAGGGAGGTACAAGCGCTGCTGAAAATATACGCGCTTGGGGCTGGAAGGGTTAAGCTAATCCAGATGTAAACCATTCTCAACTTTCAAAAAATGTTCACAAGTTTACATTTCAAACGGACAGCTGGTTACTAAGAAAGAAAAAGTAGATAAATTCAGAGAAAACGTATGAACAAAAGTCACAGCATACCTTGTTGAATGCTGGGGTGAGCTCGAAGCAGTTGCTGAAGAGAGATGATCGGGCAAACACGTACAGCCCTAGCCTCGCTCTGGACATTGCCACGATCAGACGCCTCACGTCTCTGTGAATGGACGACAAATATCGTTATGACCGATGGCTCAGTTAAATCCATCCAGTACCTGATATTTCTTGCACATTATATATTTAAAAAACAATCAAGGCAGTCAAAAGTACAAACTATTCCGTTCATGAACGATGATACACTCAACCCAAACATGTAGTTTCACGCACGCTCCACGATATTTTTTCAAAACGAAAAATGTTTAAAATCAGTTACAGTTTAACCTTATCCGTACGTCGTGTTTTACTATCGTATCCATACGACGTGGGGAAATTTACTGCTTAATCCGATCCGTATGCTTTGCATAGCAGTCTATCAAAATGGTTTTTTGAGAAATACTGAAAGTTTCAAAGAGATCTAGAAGTATTCTAAAATGTGAAGAATACAACCCCAGGGGGTACAAAATGACCCCAGGGCGTACGGATAGAGTTAAAACGGAAGTGACAAAAGTGAAACTCCAACCTGAGATGACCCACAGCCCTTGTCCTGACCAGAGACAGAAGGATGAAGTTGTTCTGCTGACCTTGGTACCGATCCACAGTGGTCACCTGGGAGGTACACAAACAATGAATCAAAAATTCTGAAATTATGCAAACTGAGCCCATAAATGTGAAATTATGCGATTCTGTTAATTTTAACAAAGAATGATAAAGGAAAATAATCAGAAATTATGCAATAAATGATAAAATTTGGCTAAATTATGCAGGGTGCATAAAACCTTGGGGACAGAGATATATATAACTCCAGGCTTGACAACTTTTCCAAATCTCAGTCAGGGACACCCACACTTACAAGATCAGATTTAGCTGTAACTTGTGCTCAAATCATCCACTCTCAAAAAGGTTCATAACACATCCGTTGCATATTGTGACATCAATGTCAAACTAAGAAGTCACAAAGATGTGGGCATTTCTGCTTAAATCAAAGCGAATCATTAAAAACGTTGGAATAGATCTAGATTTGTCATGTGCCAGGTTTTCCATTCAAATGGCAGCCTTACTCAGCATTTCAGCTCAGTTTATGATGTGTCTGTGCGCCGTCCAGCAAATGGACTGTGCTACTGGTGTACCCTAAGTGACGTTATTTGACCCCTTCCCTGCTGGGATGTTTCCAGCAACGTATATATATATATATATATATATATACAGACAATATGAAATCTTCATGAAAGAGAGATGTAAACAAAGCCATTATATCGTTTCCCTTATTTCAGAATAAACAAAGGCACAAGTCTTCTTTAATAAAATGCCCCCCCCCCCCCCCCCAACACAAACACACACAAACAGTAGAAAAACGGCAGAAGACTATCTTAAAAGATCACAAAGGAGTTTTTACGTTTCTGCAGCAGTTCTCCGGCTGATGAAAGAGACGTCTCTTTTTCCCCGCGACACCCAAAAGTGGTATAAGTGGCGGATAAAAGCAGCGATGAAGAAGAGGTTAAACAAACTTAGACCCCGAAGAAAGCCGTCAGTGTTTCTGGTATTTTCTAAAGTATTAATAACCTCAAAACAAAACACTCACCTTGTGAGGTCGTCCAATCAGAGGGTTGCCGCCGCAGCGCTGTTGGATCACGTCTCTGATCAGATGTTTCTGCCCGTTGTACGTGGTCAGGATGGAGATCTGCTCCCCGGGGTAGCCAATCATACGCATGTACATGAACACCGCCACCACGTACTCAGCCTCCGCCAGATTCTGGGACAGCGGAAAAAAAAAGTGAGTTAGATCATTTGTGTACTGACGCAGTGGAATCAGGCGCTCGTCAATTTTTGGGCATGTGGAGTTAGTGGTATCATCTTAAAGCTTGTTCATTTGCCTTGCTTCCGATGAATGAAATACCCATTTATCTCGAATAGAAGTGGAGATATAGAAGCGGAAATAATGCTTAGTGACCATAGCCACCCACTGACATCGGAATTTCAACTATCGACCTGCAGTAAACGATACATTTCCAAAAAAGCAAGAACAGACAGATATAGAAATTCATTCGTACCAACTACAGTGAGGTTACTGAACACACAGTGCTACAAATGAAACAGAGAGAGAGAGAGAGAGAGGGAGAGAGAGAGAGAGAATGAATGTTTTACGGAGCGGGTTGTCCCAGCCCGTGAGACATGTATTTACTGGGCCTAATGTCCTGTCTTGTTGTGCGTTTGCGTGAGTGCACCTTTAAGTCTAACTTTTGTAACGTCTACTGCCATTGTTAACGACCAAGACAAATTTCTCCCTGCGAGATGAATAAAGATTGTCATTGTCATATTTGTGATTGAGGGAAGAGGGGGGGTGTTGCCTGGTCTCAGAGGTAAAATTAGCGAGGAAATGGTCAGAAAAGTTTGGTAAATTACATAACCCGAGAGTCCGTTGAAACTGACAGTTTACATTTTTGGTGCCTTGAATCAACATTTTCGCCAGTGAAATCTACACATGAATGGGTTCTTAAATGGACATAAGGTGTTGAATAAAAAAACCCAAAATTTTAATAAAAATTGCCAAACCGGCGGGACAATGCCAGTTTTTTCAATTTCCCCATTTTGACCAGCGCCAGATTTCACCTCGCTGCTTCGCCATTAAACAAAAGCAACAATAAGATTTATTTTCTTCTTCTTCAAGAACTAAATCATCAGCACTCATGGTTCACCACACAAGTTTCTTCGCTCAGATGCTCTTTAAAAAAAAAGTTATTACTCTGGTTATATAAGTTGTTCTTCCACTGCCTCTTTCCTTTCTACACTTTTCCAGCAATACCAAGATGTTCAAGGCCGTTACGTCGATTCAAGTGTCCTGATAACGGCATTTGTCTCTTCCTAATTCTTTTTCAAAATATTTTTTTAAAGAGAGCAGCCCACATAAGCTTCTTTCACCACAACCTCATTTTCCAGCTTAAAAAAAAAAAGTTTTAGTAGAGGTTTTACAGCACTCGCAACTGCATAAGGTCATACAACAGAGAAGTCCTTACAGGGAATCAGACTAACTCTGCTCACCTCTCTAGCTTCAACAGCACAAAGTCTGCTTCGACTATCAAGGCACCCCGGCAAAAGCGGGTCACAAGAGTGTGACAAACATATAAAAGAAGTAGAGGAAAAATGACGATAGTAAGGATTAGGAAAGAAAAAGCAGCAGTTCCTTGTTGCAGTTCAGGCAGTTATGAGCATGATATTGATAAATTAGCCCATTTACAATTCTACTGAGCATAAGAACATGTTACCCCTATCTGTACGTCGTGTTTTATTATCATTTCCATACAACGTGGGGAACTCTGTGCCACCACTTTCCAAACAGGAAATTCACTCGTTAATCCGATCTGTACGCTTTTGAGAAATACTGAACGTTTCAAAGAGATCTTCGCACTAGAAGTATTAAAAAATGTGAAGAATACAACCCCGGGGGTACAAAATGACCCCAGGGCGTACGGATATGGTTAATGTCCCCCCCTTTGGGAATGGCCTAAAGACACTTCAGTCAGTAGTACTGCACCAGGGGGTCATGCTGCTTAGTGTAAGACTCCACCATACGCTATTTTATAAAGTGACGCACACGTCTTACACTGAACAGTCGATTGGATTTTGTAACGTCAAGTTTGAGTAAATGTTTCACGGCACTTGCAACACAATAAGGTCATATAAGTGCCGAAGATTAGAGGAGTTACACAAGAGAGTAACAAACACAAAAAACAAGGAGGAGAGATCAGGACAATAGATGTTTGTTGATAGGAAAGAAGGAGCAAACCACAGCGGAGGCCCCACCAACCACCCATTTTTGTAACGTCTCACTCACCTGATAGAAGTAAGGGTTGGGCTCCGACTCCCCCATGCCGTTGAAATCTCCGACGTCGATCAGCTGGTACTCAAACTGGAAGCCGGCGTTGGCCATGCGGAACTCTGGCCGGATCAAGACGTGCGGCAGAGAGCCCAGCTTTTTGTACCTCCAGTTGTACAGGTTTGCCAGGCTGAGGAAAAGGGAAGGGGGGAATTCAAACATGATATATATATATATATATATATATATATATATATATATATATATATATATATATATATATATATCTATCTATCTATCTATCTATCTATCTATCTATCTATCTATCTATCTATCTATATATATATCTATCTATCTATATATATATGTATATATCTATATCTATCTATCTATCTATCTATATATATATATATAATATATATATATATGTATAGATATATAATTCCCCCCCCCCCCCCCAGTTTTAGTAAGAGTTTTACGGCACTTGCAACACAACAAGGTATATAAGTGCTGAAGAATAGAGGTGTTACAAGAGAGTAACAAGCACAAAAAAGGAGGGGAGACAAGGACGATAGATGTTTGATAGGAAAGAAAAAGCAAACCAATATGTTTACCTTGCCCTAGCTCGACCTTGAGCATCAAGGTCAACGGTGGGTACGCCCAGTCGGACGAGGCGAGTGAAGAGCGACTGCTCCATGTTGGAAAACTTCTGGAAGGCCATGTTTTTGATGACCGGCGGGAGCTGGTGGTGGTCGCCGATCATGATCCAACGCTTCAGCCGATTGTTGCCGTCCTTGGGGTTCTGACGTCAGGGGAGAGAGGGATGGAGGTACCAACGTATGACAGGGTATATGGTATTTATAGACATATCTTTGCTATATCTATAGGTATATTGTGGCTATCTGACGCAAGGGGGGAGAGGGATGGAGATACTAACGTATGACAGGGTATATGGTATTTATAGACATATCTTTGCTATATCTATAGATATATCGTTCCTATCTGACGCCAGGGGAGAGAAAGACGAGGAAATTAACGTCATGACAGGGTACATGATATTTATAGATATATTGTGGCTATCTGACGCCAGGGGAGAGAAAGACGGAGAATTTAACAGATGACAGGGTATACAATAATGTCTTTAACATATTGTTGCGACCCATGGGATTAATCTAATTTTAGCGAGATTTTTACGGCACTTACAACACAAAAAGGTCATGTAAGTTAAGTTTAGTTTTTGTGGAGGTTTTACGGCACTTGCACGAGGTGAACATACCTTTGAACACGATACATTCATGTATGAGTCTTTCGTTTTAGTAGAGGTTTTTACGGTGCTCACAACTGCATACGGTCATATGAGTGCCAATGGGTGGATGCCAACAGAGAAGTCCTTACAGGGAATCGGGCTTACTCTGCTCACCTCTCTAGCTTCAACAGCACAAAGTCTGCTTCAACTATCAAGACACCCCGGAAATAGCAGGTCACAAGAGTGCGACAAACATACATAAGAAGTAGAGGAAAATGACGATAGGAAGGATGAGGGAAGAAGAAGGCAGCAGTTCCCTGTTGTAGATCAGGCACAGTTAGGAGCATGACATTGATGAATCAGTGCATTTACAATTCTACTGTGCATAAGAACATGTTAATGGCCCCCTTTGGGAATGGCCTAAAGACACTTCAGTTAGTAGCACCGCCTCGGGGGGTATAAGGGATGTGAGATAATGATTCTTTAACATATCGTTGCCACCCATAGGATTCATTTAGTTTTAGTAAGATTTTTATAGCACTTACAACACAAAAAGGTCATATAAGAGCTGAATATCAGAAGTATTACTAGAGAGTAACATCATATAACATGTACAGAGAGGAAGGAGAGGTAAAGACGATACATGTATAGTAGTTTAGTTTAGTATGGGGTTTTACAGTGCTCGCAACTGCATAAGGTCATATGAGCGCACGAAACAAGTTGGTTTTTTTCTCTCAACAGTTTATTCCTCGGCCTGGTAGTGGACAATATTTCTATTTAAAATTGTTAAAATGCTAAAAATCGAGTGTAAATAGATTTTAGATTTAAATTTAAATTTAAAACAACTTTCTAAATGACTCTTAAAAATTTCATAACTTTCCATAAAGGCCAATGGCCTTCATAAAACCCAAAATTCTGTTGGGACCAACGACGGGAAAAATATTTTGCAATTTTTTGCATTTAAAGTATTTCCTTCAGGTCTCTCCGAAATCTAGACATTTGGTTAACATGTGTCTTATAGTAAAATCGATGTCGCATCCGACACAGAAAAGCTTCTCTTCTCCCTGAAGGAGGACACGTATGATAGGACGTGGGTGGGCGATAGGAAAGAAGGAGCACACCACACCCAGCCAATCACCGACCCATGGGAATATTACACACAAAATAAAAATACATCAAAACACACACACTCACATATAAGGCATCAAAATACACTCATGTATGCACACACAATGTGAGAGAGAGAGAGAGGGAGGGAGAGGGAAAGGGAAAGTGTGAGAATGAGTAAAAGTGAGAGAGAGAGAGAGAGAGAGAGAGAGAGAGAGAGAGAGAGAGAGAGAGAGAGAGAGAGAGAGAGAGAGAGAGAGCCAGCAAGCGAGACAGAAAGAGAGAGAGAGAGGGGGAGACAAAGAGAGAGAGAGAAAGTAGGACCTACCAGTGAGCCCCCTCTATCCTCCACCCGCTAAATTAGCATCCAACTGACCTGCAGCAATAGTGGGATGAACGTCTCTATCTCAAACGGTACTGGATCGCTAACAACAACAACACTAACAACAACAACAAAAACCACAACAACAACAACTGACCTGCAACAACAGCGGGATGAACGTCTCAATCTCAGACACAACAACAACAACCACAACAACAACAATCACAACAACAACTACCACTCACCTGCAGCAACAGCGGGATGAACGTCTCAATCTCCAGGATCTGCGCCGATTCCTCCATGATGATGTTGTCAAACTGAACAAGACAGATAAATAATAATAATAATGTAATACTATTAATAAAAATAATAATAATGATAATAACAATAATAATAATAATATAATAATACTATTAATAAAATAATAATAATTATAATACTATTAATAAAATAATAATGATAATAATACTATTAACAAAATAATAATTATAGTAATGATGATAATAACAATAAGGCTACACACACATATAACACACATCTCCCAGACCCACATACATTCTCACATACATTCCCACATACATTCTCACATACATTCCCACATACATTCCCACATACATTCTCACACACACTCTCACACACATTCTCACATACATTCTCACACACATTCTCACACACATTCTCACACACAATCTCACACACATTCTCACACACATTCTCACATACACTCTCACATACATTCTCACATACAAAATCTACTGGCAGAGAAAAATCCAGCTGTGAGAGGAAATTTGACCCGTTTGAACCCCATTGCAGACACTGTGACTACCACGAGGAGACCGTTGAACATCTTCTCCTTCACTGCCCAAACCTGGCAGTTCTTCGACGCAGGCTCCTACACACACACCTACAGACTTACAAAGCCTGCTCTACTCTGGCGCTGACCAGATGACAAGGACATGTGGTTACTTGAGGGAGGCATTGCGCTGCCAAGAGTGAAATGCTCGCAGCTAAAGGGATTTGAAAACAACAACAACAACAACATGTCATGTGACAGGCAGCAGACTTCTTTCTTATTGGTCGGCTGTCGGCCACAATTTTCATAAAACGCACGAGAACACGACCGAGAAAATCAAACTGTGCCAAAATGGTATCTTTTATCTGTCCATCAAAGAAAAATCTGATGATTCCATACATTCCGGGGTGGCCAGATATCAAATGGCAATTTGTTGACCACATTTTCAGCAGCATGCACTTGGTATTAGAAAACATACAAGCAAACTGTTTTTGTTCAGGACCACATCACCAGTTCCTTTGTGAATAAATAAAACAATAAATGTAGGTGTTTTTACGCCCCCATCGACACAATTTAGATCATTGAGGGAGAAGGCTCCCAGCCCTGCTTTTCCGGGGCAAACCTGGGCTGAGAGGGATACAACATCCTTTTTTTTTTTTATAGTAGAGGGTTTTACGGCGCTCGCAACTGCATAAGGTGATATGAGTGCCAAGGGGTGGGTGTCAACAGAGAAGTCTTTACAGGGAATCAGACTTAGACTGTTCACCTCTCTAGCTTCAACAGCACAATGTCTGCTTCGACTATCAAGGCACCACGGAAATAGCAGGTCACAAGAGAGTGACAAACATACAAAAGAAGTAGAGGAAAATAACAATAGTAAGGATCAGGAAAGAAAAAGCAGCAGTTCCCTGTTGTAGATGAGACACAGTTATGAGCGTGACATGATGAATCAGCCCATTTACAATTCTACTGTGCTTGAACGAGAAATGTCCCCCCCTTTGGGAATGGCCTAAAGACACTACAGTCAGTGGCACTGCCCCGAGGGGTAATACAACATCCCTGCTGAAGTACCGAGATACTCAATAAAAAAATGTTCTCCCCACTCGTGAATCGAACTCTGGTTTCCTGTGTCACAGTGGCGTTCTCTAACCACCTACTAGTCTCCCTTCACAAGCGGAGATTTCAAAAGGCTAACTGAGATATTCACACACGCTACCTGAAAGCCGACGGTGACCAGATCTCGGCGCTTGAGGGCAGCGTGGGTGCAAGTCATCGCGATAATCTTGGCCTCTTTCATCAGCAGGTAGTTAGCTCGGTCGGAGCCACTCCTCAGCAGCTCAAAGGCCCGGAACTCCTGGTGTAAAAAAACAAACAATATTGTTGTCATAATGTCGGTTTATTACAACGATTACAGAGACAAGCATCAACACAGTAACAGTCACCGGTGGTCGTGATCCGACATGAGAGTGGAAACTATACCGCTGACATGAAAATAGCCATTTTTTAAACGGCTGGTGACTACAGTCCACCAGTGCAATGTTTATTAGTGTCGTTGGCCACGCAGCATTCGGCAGTCGGTGATCAGTTTGGAGTCTTTTATCGACAATTTTCTGGGTCAGATTCATCAGCTGATATAGACACAGATTTGCCCAACATTTTTCTGGAATTGGACGACAGTGATGAAGAGTTTGAAGGATGAGGTCTTCAAATAAAAGATTTACATGTGAATGATGGGGATATATCGTAGATCTGGTGAGGTACAGCCTAGAAGGGGGCGTTGATATTCCTGCTGATCTCCAAGCAGGCTGGACTAAAATTGATGAGGACTTTGATATCAACATCATTAAAAACACATCTGACAAGACATGAGGGTAGTTCATTAATTAAGAAACATTTTTCCTTCTTACTGTAATTAGAAATTATGATAAATAAGAAAGATATGACCTTTTTTTATGATCATGTTGAAAATTAGCATTAAAAAAACAACAACCTAGCACTGAAGGGAAGTAATGGTAAAAAAAGCTTAGCGCTAAGAGGGTTGAGATGATATTAATAACTCTAAATGCCCAAAAATTGATGAGCGCCTGATTCCACCGCGTCATGACACATATTGTAGTCACAATGTCGGTTTACTGCGATCATTCGTCTAAGTACAGAGACAAGCATTAACACAATAACGGTCACTTAATGTGAGGGGAAAAAGAAATAAAAAAAAATAAATTAACGTGCAGACATTTTTACACTGCCATTGACACAATTTCAATCATTTATGAGGTGGGCTTCTGAGAAATTGAATTTAAATGATGAAACGTTTTAGTTTGAAAAAAATTGTAAGATAAAAATTTACCCTCAACTCAAAATCAAATGCAATCAACAGAGGAAACGGGTACATAATAAATATATGGACATTAGCTGTGCTGTAACCCCCCCCAAAAAGGAACCAAACCCCCCCCCAACCCAACCCCCCCTCCCAAAAAAAAAAGAAAACGCCACCACAAAAAAAGAAAAAAAAACCCCAAATCACCTCAAGCTGAGTGAAAATTTTCTTGATGTGCCTGAAGCAGCCCTCTGCAATGTTCATGTTCTCCGCAAACGTCTTTCCCCGGAACAACGGTTGTGGGGCATTGGCGAAGAACTTGACGAATGGGAACAGCTCTTGAATTTTCTTCATATGTTCATCCTGGGTGGAAAAAATATTTCCGGCAAAATAAGCAATAGAACATTTGTGGCGGCTCATGTTAGTTACTTAGGCTCTCGGACTCGCAACCGTAAGGTCGTGGGTTCGAATCCCGTCAGGGGCCCGACGTTATGTCCTTGGGACAGACACTTTACACGAAATTTCCTCACTTCACCCAGGTGGGAATGGGTACCCGGCTATAGACAGCGAAGTATCTTGTCAGTTTGTAAGTGTTTGAGCGCTTAATCAGCTGCTCGCACTGTATGCTTCCCGGGAAGCTAAGAATGTTTCTGAGTGTTCTATGGTCTGCTGGGGTAATAATATAGTGTAAAGCGCATAGAGCCTGCTGTTGAGCGGGGTTGTGCGCTATAAAATGCTATTTAATATTATTATTATTATTATTACTTTATTACAGACACATCAAGCACTCCATGATGAAACATACGAGTTTTCTTCTTTTTTACTTTTTGTAAGAGTTTTACAGCACTTGCAACACAATAAGGTTATATAAGTGCTGAAGAATAGATGTGTTACAAGAGAGTAACATACACAAAAAAAGAAGGAGGAGAGATAAGGATGATAGATGTTTGATAGAAAGAAGGAGCAAACCACACCAGAGCACCCGCCAACCACCCACGAAGTTTTCTTCAAAATCCTCCCACAACATAAGAGCTTGAGTTGAGAATAAAAATCCGAGTCTCCAGAACCTACGTAGATTAAAATCACTTAAACCGACTGATGGAAAATACAAGTGTATAACGCAAATACCCGCAATTAAAAAAAAGAAATGTTTTCACGTTGTTTATGATAAGTTGTACAAATACACAAATAAAAATGTATATATTTTCATGCCTTTCACAATAAGTCACTTGACCTGAAGGAAAGGGAATTCAAGTTAAAAAAAAAAAGAAAGATTTTAAGTAAATCTGATTGGGGTTCTTTGACGTGCAGAACAAAATCGGAGAGCTCCGACATTACCGGAGAACTTGGCGAGGCTACTCACCTGTCCCATGAAAGGTTTGATCTTGATCTGAAACTCTTCCCATCGACTCAAAACCTGAGAAAAAAAAAAGAACAACAAGATACCAAAAACTGTAACTTGAACCAGACACGGTACAAAAGATGACCCTGAGGGGTACACATTTTTGATTACTGCAATTCTCAAAACACCAAAAAACCCAGAAAAGAACCCACCACATTACAGGGGGGTATTATATACCACACACATACACAACCACACAAATGTGAGGCAGCGTGGTGGAATCAGGCTCTCGTCAATTTTTGGGCATGTAGAGTTATTGGTATCATCTTAAAGCTTGTTTGTTTTTCTTTATTTGGATGAAAAAAATATCCATTTAGCTTTTATACAAGTCAAGATATTTGCGAAAGAAGGAGGTGGGGGGGTCACCTGTTTTCAGAGGTAAAATTAGTGAGAAAATGGCCGCCAAAGATTAGTTATTTCCTTAGCTTAAGAGTCCGTGGTAACTCAAAATTTTCATTTTTGTGCCTTTAATCAACGCTTTTCAGCAAAATCCACACAGAAATGAGTTCTTTAATGGGCATGAAAGGTGTCGAGCTAAAAAACACAAATTTGATAAAAGTTCAATAACCCGTGGAAAAATGCAAGTTTCTTCACTTTGATTATTTTGACGGGAGCCTGATTCCACCACGCTGCCTCACATATACATGCACACACTCACAGCCAGTGAAAAACAAACATCACTTTTTAAACATGATTCTTTCATTCACTGCTTAAAGGCTAGCAAGAAACAATTTCCTTACAGAAATCAGTCATGTATTACTCCATATATCAAATTTTCATATTGATTGCCTTTAACAAAATACTTTGAGCTTCAAGCAACAATACGAAATTCTTTTCTTCCCTTCTCTCCTTTCCTCTATATATCAGAATCTGACACAAACCAGCCAATGCCTCTATATATCAGAATCTGACACAAACCAGCCAATGCCTCTATATATCAGAATCTGAACACTGACACAAACCAGCCAATGCCTCTATATATCAGAATCTGAACACTGACACAAACCAGCCAATGCAGGCGTCAAACACCATTTTCAAGAATTTAATAAATAACAACAGCAATCTGAATATTTTATAACAATACATAATGGTTAAAACCTACAGCTGTAAAAAAATGTTTCAGCTCAAAATCATGGAAATCTTTACTCTCTTTACTCAAGCAAATAAACAATTCACTTTTTGAAAAGTTCAAAAAGATCTAATATTATCATACAAATTCTAAATGCTGATAAAACAATTTTTACCACTTTGCCATCACAAGGCTCATATATAGTAAAAACCCTTGCCATTAAAGGCAAAGACATTTGGGGGAAAATCCAAAGAAACTGGGTGGTAAACATCGCTGACTGGCGAGATGTGATGGCAAAATGTTAAAAAAACACCCAAAAAAAAACAACTAACGACCCCCCCCCCCCCCCAACACACCCACACAGAAAGAAACAGTGTTTGGGCCAACGGTGACCGGTGACCGACCTGGTAGATGTAGAAGTATCCGGCGGTCTCGCAGGTGTAGGACATGTCCCCCATCTCGTCCAGGCTGACCTGGAGTCTGTTCACTTCCTGTAGGAGCTCCAGACGCTGAGCCAGGACGTAGTTCACGCGACCGTACCTGTGGGGCGAGGTCAGAACAGAAATTAATTCTGATAAAACATAAAATAAAACAATTCTTCTTTTCAGTTATGATGTTTTTGCGACGTAGTTCACGCGCCCGTACCTGGGGGATGGTGACACCACACACACTACAACTCATAAAATAACAGAATTCCTGCTTCGAGTTATTATTTTTATTTTTATTGTGTTTTTAATATAGGTTACACCAAGACAAACCGGACAGAAAAACAAGGAAGATAAATCAGAGATGTGCTAGTAACATTGAACAATTCAAAAAAAAGAAAAAAAAAAGAAGATGAGACAAGTGTACATAACTCAGTTTAAAAAAGGAAGGACACCCCCATAAAAGTGTACATAAATCCAAATTTCAGTTTAAAAAAGAAAGGACATCCCCCCCCCCCCCCCCACACACACACACACACGCACGATGCAATCAAATCCAAATTTCCCCTATGTCCAACCTGCTGAAATCTTTCTCCGTCTCCAGCGCCTCCTCTCCATGGCCCAGACGCAGCAGATGCCGCTCGTCCACGTCCAGAGCCATGATCTTCTCAAACAGCTGGTTCAGAGCCTGTGGTCGCCAACACGTGCCGAATCGAGGGGAACATGCACCGAATCGAGGGGAAAATTGGTCATGTTTGTTTAGTAAGAGTTTTACGGAGCTCGCTACTGCTTAAGGTCATATGAGCGCACGTAAAATTTGTCAAATAACATTTTATTAAAAGCGTTATGAGAAAACAGCAGTTTTTACTATAAAAAAATCAGTTTTTACTATTTGAAAATAAGATGAAAAAGAAAACAATATAGAAAATCTGATTTAAAAAAAGGGCAGCTTTGGGTCTCATGTAAAGATTCTGAAGCAGGCATGGTTGAATTTCCCAGAAATTGTTGAGAAACATAAATAAAAACCAGACCCAAACTTTCATAAAGCTTACACAGAAAAAGAAAATGATGTAACGAAATATAAATTCCCTTTAAACATAAATATCTTACCCTCCTTGTAAGTGACCTTAATATTGTTGATGGAGGTGTAAAACATTAACAATCTAGAAAAACAACAAACCTTTAATTCTACACCTATCTCGAAGGTGCAAACTGGCTGCAGAAAAAAAAATTCCTAATTTTTTCGGACCCCGTGGAAACAAGCGATTGAGGCTCTTAATTTATAGACCACATTGTCCAATTCATCTTGCAGCAAGACCGTTTTCATATAATGTGCAATATGACATCCACAAAGTAACTAAAATAGAACTATATGAATAAGCAGGAACATAATATTACAAAATCTGGACGACTTTATAAAACCTAATGTCCAGATTTACTCAGGGTTTCTGCCATGAACTTCCCACCAAATTCAAGGAGGTTTCAAGGATAAATTTTTAAAATTCAAGGAGATTTGGTCAAGAAATTCATGCCGAAAGCCTATTTCCAATAGCCCTGCACTTGTCTGAAAGGAATCAAAGTTTCGATTTACCGACAAAAATTTTGTTCATGTCCGATCCTGCGAAATTCAATGAGTTTTCAAGAAGGTTCCTCAAATTCAAGGAGTTTTCAAGGAGGTTTTTCATTCACGGAGTGTTCAAGGAGGTTACCCAAATTCAAGGAGTTAAGGAGTTTTCAAGGAGATTTTTCATTCAAGAAGTTTTCAAGGAGATTTTTCAGGACTCCTTGAATTCAAAGAGGCCGCAGGAACCCTGTTTACTTGGAAACTGGGCATCTCTGCGACGTACGTACCTGGTTGGAGTGAGTGACCACCAGCATCCTCTGGCTGGGGAAGTTGTGGTAAATGTTGGAGATGATCTGGACAGCCACGTCCGTCTTGCCTGTGCCGGGCGGCCCCACCACCATGGTCAGCCCGGGCTGCATGCCCGCGCGGATCGCCTCTATCTGGGTCGGGGTGAACTGGATGCTGGAGTGTTCAAGGAGGTTACCCAAATTCAAGGAGTTAAGGAGTTTTCAAGGAGATTTTTCATTCACGGAGTGTTCAAGGAGGTTACCCAAATTCAAGGAGTTGAGGACTTTTCAAGGAGATTTTTCATTCACGGAGTGTTCAAGGAGGTTACCCAAATTCAAGGAGTTAAGGACTTTTCAAGGAGATTTTTCATTCACGGAGTGTTCAAGGAGGTTACCCAAATTCAAGGAGTTAAGGACTTTTCAAGGAGATTTTTCATTCACGGAGTGTTCAAGGAGGTTACCCAAATTCAAGGAGTTAAGGACTTTTCAAGGAGATTTTTCATTCACGGAGTGTTCAAGGAGGTTACCCAAATTCAAGGAGTTAAGGACTTTTCAAGGAGATTTTTCATTCACGGAGTGTTCAAGGAGGTTACCCAAATTCAAGGAGTTAAGGACTTTTCAAGGAGATTTTTCATTCACGGAGTGTTCAAGGAGGTTACCCAAATTCAAGGAGTTAAGGAGTTTTCAAGGAGATTTTTCATTCAAGAAGTTTTCAAGGAGATTTTTCAGGACTCCTTGAATTCAAAGAGGCCGCAGGAACCCTGTTTACTTGGAAACTGGGCATCTCTGTGACGTACGTACCTGGTTGGAGTGAGTGACCACCAGCATCCTCTGGCTGGGGAAGTTGTGGTAAATGTTGGAGATGATCTGGACAGCCACGTCCGTCTTGCCTGTGCCGGGCGGCCCCACCACCATGGTCAGCCCGGGCTGCATGCCCGCGCGGATCGCCTCTATCTGGGTCGGGGTGAACTGGATGCTGTTCCTGGGACACACAGAGAATTCACAAGTGTTAGGGAAAAATCCAGAAGTGTTAGGGGAAAATCCAGAAGTGTTAGGGGGAAATCCAGTGCATGTTACTTTTGCCAACTGTGACACTTTGCCCCCCATGAGACGCCGATCGGCAACGGTAAGAAGCTGTCCCTTTCCCCACGGGACGCCAATCAGCAACGGTGTGATATAGCGTGTACCGCGTATCTGTATCCTGGTCTGTGGGGATAAGTGTTGCGTCTGCGCGTTGCGTGGGTGGAAAGTGTTAAAGAAAGACACGGGTGAGACTGGGGGTGGGTTCGGGACAATTTTGGGCCAAAGTATCGAAAATTCAAAGTTGTGATTGTTTTCTTCATTGATTACCCTACAATCGATATTTCATATTTGTATCCATGGAAAAGTCTTCATCTCAAACGCATCACACTTGAAGTCTGGTATCTGTCATAAATTGGGCCGTCCTGCTCAGTTCATCTGTCGGCCCGTATAGTTTCTCTTGTAGAGTCAGTGCATGGAAAAGTGTTTTTATAATGCTCTGGAAGCCGCATTTGCCCTTCAGCTGTTCCCAAAATTGAACTGAGAGTGCACTGAGTGCCAATATAGCTAGAAATGAGCAAGATTAAAAATTTAAGAACCTCTTCCCTTAAGAGGGTAACATTTTCATACTGCCCGTCTTTCATTTCGAATGTGGTAAAAGTTTGACGGCACTATGTGGCTTGATTACAGTACGAGGTAAAAGAAAATATAGAATACACAAAATTCTAGGTTACAAATCACAGAGACAGAATGCATAAAAATCAAATTGACAGACAGAGGTTTAAAAGAGGCTGTATAAGCACCCATCATCATCATCATCATCATCAAGTTCCAGATCTACGGCAAACATCAGCGATCATGGTTCAATCAGCCTCCACATTTTCTATTTCAAAATTTGCGATAAGATTCTCTCTCTATAAAACTGCACTCACTTCTTGGGCATGTTATACGGGTAAGGCCCCCTGTTGGGAATGATGTGAGGCACGGCTTTGACCACCTTGCTTCCCTCTTTGTTCTCGTCCGACTCCAGCCCTCGCTTTCCTTCTTGGCTGTTCTCTTGGAACGTCAATCTGTAAAAGAACCAGGTATTTTAAAGTTTTAGTAGAGAGGTTTTACGGCGCTCGCAACTGTATAAGGTCACATGAGCGCCAGAAGATTAAAGGTGTTACAAGAGAGTAACAAACATAAAAAAGAAAAAGGGGAGTTAAGGATGATAGGTGTTTGATAGGAAAGAAGGAGCAAACCACGCCAGAGCACCTGCCAACCACCCACAACCAGGTTTTTGAGAATTTCGAGTTAGCAGAAGCACCTCCACACACTAACAGTCATTTTGTGCTATAAATAACGCACATTGCCGGCGTCTGACTCTCACAGCGTACCGGTCAAATTTGATTGAACACTTGTTTTTTTGGTCTCAAATTACATTCTTCACAACCATAGTTACAATTGGGGATACTCAAACATGGAAAAAAACAGAACACTCTACACAAAATTTTTTGCACTTCTAATAAATGACTAGAAAGAAATGACACCCCCACCCGCCCCACCCCCCTTTCCCCGAAAAATATGTGTACATAAACAAATTTGGTTAGAATCAGCCACTGACGATATGAATAAAACCCAGCTGCGACTGCCGACACATCACGAGAAAAGGGAAAAAAAGGGCATACACAGAAATGGGAAATCCTGAGGGCACCAGTTAAAAAAAATTGTAGGTTCATAACCGCACTTCCGTTCAACTGTTGGTTGGTTGAATATTATTGTTGACTTCCCATTCAACTCACAATAACTATAAAATCCCCAGCCACACAAATGAAGTAAGGAGTCTACATACAAGGTTTACGTTTTCATACTCTTACAATGTCCCGTTTGGGGCTATGCCGCTTTTTCTCACTTGATCTTCGTATCGACTGCTTCCTGTATGTAAGACTCCGCCATGTGTCATTTTGAAAAGTGATGTGCGATAGTCTTACAGTAAGCGGTCGACATTACATCACCTCAGAACTATGAGTCCTGACGCAGTGGAATCCAGCGCTCATCAATTTTTGGACATAAGGAGCTATTGGTATCATCTTAAAGCTTGTTCTTTTGTCTCAGTTTACACGAAAAAAAAAATATCCATATATCTTGAATAGAAATCGAGACATTTTGGATTGACGGATGTAGTAGTCACTCGGTTTCAGAGGTAAAATAAGAGAGAAAATGGCCGCCAAAGTTTAAACTGTAAATATACATTTTTGTGCACTTGATCAACGTTTTTCAGTAAAAGCCACACAGCATCTTGCTCTTAAATGGACACAAAAGGTGTTGAGTCAAAAAATGAAAATTCGAAAAAAGTTGCCAAATGGGAAGAAAAATGCCGTTTTCTTCGATTTCATTATTTTGACGAGCGTCTGATTTCACCACGCTGGCTGGCTGCCTCACATTTTGTCCAAAGTGTACTTAAGTACGACAAAATAGTTCTGAGGCAACGATATGTATCTGATCAAATCTTTTGATTCATTCAAATGTCAGCTGAAGTCGTCTCCGTTTTTAAATTAATAAGATGAATATTTGGAATAATTTTCTTTAGTCAGAACACAACATTTTATATTACTGTTGTACGTTGTACTGTATTGTAAAGCGCTCAGAGCCTGCGTACTTTATTCGGGGTTGCGCGCTCTATAAATGTCATTTATTATGATTATTCTGTGGCTTGTCCACTCACCTGTAGGGAGGGACTTGCTTCTCGGGCTCCCCCTCCACCTCCATCTTGTGCTGGTGGTAGCTGGACTTGAGGTGTTCCAGACTGAGGAACGTGTCGTTCCAGTCCAGGGTCGCCTTGGTGTTGGGCATCCTGTCATTACAAAAAACGCAAAAATGTATAGGTTTAAAAAAAATTTTTAGTAACAGTTTTACGGCACGTGCAACACAATAAGGTCATATAATTGCCGAAGATTCGATATGTTAAAGGAGAGTAACAAACACAAAAAAAGATGGAGGAGAGATGAGGACGGTGGATGTTTGATTGGAAAGAAGGAGCAAACCACACCAGAGCACCCGCCAACCACCCATGAATAGGTTCAATGCCCCTTTAATTGAAGGTAAATTTTTTGCCCCTTGTTCAGCTTCTTTAAAGACAAGGAGAGTTTTCTCTATAACCAAACAAATATACACATCAATGAAACCAAACTTCTCCAATAGGCACGGCAATGCCCACGTTTGGTGTAGGTCAAGATTTCTGGAAACCCCCAAGATCTGGGTTAGCTCGCTACTCCTTAAAAGCGACCATTTATTATCATCATTATTGTAAGGTCACAATCTTTAGACTCTGTTGTGGCTACAACAGACTCAAACACCATATGCACACCAAATTAAAAGTGGGAGAGTCAGCGATCTGTGAATGTGGACACGACCAAGAGGATGCCAACTATATTATCCTTCAGCACTGCCCGCGCTACACCACACTTCGCACACAGACGTGGCAGAATGTGGCTCTCCTTGAGAGAAAGCTCTATGGCAGTCTCTCAGAGTTGAAGCGAACTGCTGCACAGTTTGTGCGCGACATCGGACTGACAGTCTGGCTGCTGCCATCGAGAACGAGGAAGAAGAAGAAAGAAGTAAGGACTTACTTCGAGTAATGAGCCGAGTCCGGGTCGCCGTAACCCAGGATGAGGTCATGCAGCCAGTCGGGAACGACGCACTCCGTGTTCATGAGGTCGCGGATCGTCTCCAGTACGGCCTTGAAGTTGTTCTCCTTGGGCTTGCGACGCATCATCACGTTGAACGTCTCGTACACATCCTTGTACGCGAGAGGAAAGGGAATATACAGTTTCTCAGCTGCTAACTCTTCAAAACCAATAAACAGACCTCTATTCAGGCGATGGCTCAAGCTATATACTGACTCAGCTCCCTACAAACAGCATTTTTCTGAATTTCGTAAAATCATGCCCAAAAGATTACTATGACAAGGGACCGAACTACAATAAGATTTTAAGGCTACGTTCTAATTATGACTAATAAATTCTGTCTTGTTTTAGTTTCAGTAGAGGTTTTACGGCACTCGCAACTGCATAAGGTCATATGAGGCCAGAAGATTAGAGGTGTTACAAGAGAGTAACAAACATACAAAAGAAGAAGGGGAGATAAGGACGATAGATGTTTGATAGGAAAGAATAAGCAAATTCTATCTTGAAAGTTCATAATTTTTCTTTATCATTGACAAGTGCTTGAGGAGTGAATACATTTTTTCCTAGAAAAACAGACTTAAATTTAATAGGCTGTCGACATTAGGAGGGTTCAGAACAACATGTCGTCACCGTTGTAAGAAAAGTGAGCGACTCTTTCAGCACCCACTTCACAGAGTGAGGACAAAACACAGAGAATAAATCAGTTCTCTCATGACAGCCACCACTGACACGCACGAGCAAACCACTGTCACGAGAGGGTCACCTACCTCTTCTCCATTGACAGTTCGTGTCATGTCCATTTGGTACTGGTTCGGATCCAGCCACACGCGGTAAGTGCGGTTGTCGGAGAAAAACTCTGGCTTGGGCTCGGGGCCTGTGGAAAGGAAGACCAAAATGTACCGTTTCAACTCCGGGGAAAAACAGCTATTTTTTTTGTTCAACGTATTTCACTGTGGTATTTACTATGACTCCTCTCTTTTTTTTTTTTTTTTTTGAGTGAAAAGAAATACAACTATTGTGGTGTCTTCATTTTGTGATCCAATCTTGAAGTATTGGAATAAATATATCGACGGCTGGCGCAAAAAGTGACTATAATATCCACTTATCAGTTTCGAGAAAAACGAGTTTGATATTTTGAAGATCTTGAAATCTCCATAGCATAGTAACCCCCCCCCTCCCCCTGTTAAATAAACAATACTGAATGAAGCTTTAGCTTAGATATTTACAGTGGGTGGTTGGCAGGTGCTCTGGTGTTGTTTGCTTCTTCTTTCCTATCAAACATCTATCGTCCTTATCTCCCCTTCTTCTTTTTTATGTTTGTTACTCTCTTGTAACACCTCTTATCTTCTGGCGCTCCTATGACCTTATGCAGTTGCGAGCGCCGAAAAACCTCTACTAAAAAAACAACTTAGATATTTACAGAGGTACAAGAGTGGCTAAAAAATATCACAACCCATTTTGATTCCTCCATTTTGACCAAAACTGGATGTAGTCACTTCTTGCGCTCAGCCATTGCTATTTCTTCATACGTTTTTATCATTTTAAATTTACACCATGGATTTGAAATGTACAAGAAATTTCTAACACTTGAATTGACTGCTTAAAGTAAAACATCGTCATACGCCATATTGAAACACGATGTATGGCCGAGTCTTACACTGAGTGGTTGAAATAGCAAAGAACATTCTACAACTACAAAGCTAACGTCTCTGGTCAGACGACTCACCTTCTTCGATCAGTTTCCCCGTTTCATCCAGCAGTCCCTCGATTTCACAACCTCTGACATATGTAAGACCAACCTGGGGAGACATTCATCATCATCATCACTATCATCATCATCACCATCATCATCATCACCATCACTATCATCATTTATTAGGGAAAAATAAATGCATCATAAAGAAAAAAACTATGTTGATTTTAAACATACTCAAAGATAGTACATAACAAGATGGGCCACTCAGCCAAAAAAATGTCCGCAGGAAGTTCGCTCTTTGCTTCAGATGGCGCTGCAGTCTGTTTTGAAGCTCTCTTTCATTTTTCCAGAAGAAGAATAGGAATAGCACCTCCTTGCGTGCGCAGATCGACTGCTGTTCATCAGCAGTTCGGGTTCGTTCAGTGTTGAGTTTTAGGTTTTTTATATTTTAATCACCTCTCGTTTTTCATTCTAAAATCAAATTAAACGAAGAAAACAATCACCCTTTCCTTCGGAAGAGGTTTTTTGTCAGCGTAACCATTTTAAAAAAGCGTTCTTCCTAAATTTATTAAAAAACTTGCTAGTTTCACTTTGATTTTTTAAACTCAAGTAGGGTAACTCTGTTCGCAAAAGGTGCGCATTTGCAAAGAGGGCGCCACCGAATTTTGAGGACACTTTTTTAATTGGCTCAAAGAGAGAAGTGGCCCCTCTTGTTATGTAGACTCTTTGTCGATACTTCGATCCAAGGAAGTTTTAGTAAGAAGAAGGCAGAAGTAGAGGTGTTACAAAAGAGTCACACACAAGGAAAAGAAGGAGAGATAAGGAAACCAGATATATGATTGAAAAGAAAAAGCAAACCGTGCCAGAACACCTGGCAACCACCCACAAGGTCAGTTATTTGAAAAGTTTTGTATTAAATCGGAAAAGTAAAACCACAGGAACTACAGAAACAATAACAATCATCATCATCATCATCATCATCATTCAAAAAAATAAAAATTTATAAGACAACTAAAAATGTGTTCCAACCCAAAGTTCCTGGCCAATATTCCACTCACCTGTGGGATGAAGGGTTTCGTGTGGTTGTACCGGTACCCAATGGGAACGTCAGGTCTCAGGGTGATCAGGAACGCCACATCATGTTTCCGGAGTCCTGAAAAACCAAAGGAAGGGTGGAGGGTAACAGATGGATTTCTTGACCTAATATTCAGCCATGCAGAATTCAGAATTTCCCAACCATAAAAAAATGCATTACTCCTGTAAAATAATCAGACACACCCTTACACCTTCCATACTTCCAAATGTACAGATGTAACTCCTTTGGAACATATCAAGGAAGTCAAGACCTGAAGGGGTGGAAAAAGTAATTTACCTCCTGTAAGACTTTACTGCTTCAAGACCATCAGTCAAGATGCAAAAAGCCATTGTACTAGTGGTCTTCCATGAAAACACATTGTTTTAAAAGTTTTTAAATTCAAAGTTTTTTCTTATTCGGTGCAAATAAAAGAGTATTATCAAATTTCCAGGGGGTAGCTAAAATCTGATGCTCAACTGATAAACAATAGGAACAGGAAAGGGAAAAGAAAGGGGACTGTTCAATTTTGAGAAGAAAACAGGGAGGCACCAATCATTTAAAGATAAATCAACGATCCCGACGTTTTGCAGTTCACTTATGAATTTCACTCCGTTCTATGCCTCACACGTGTCTGTCTACTGCTAAGTAATGCGTACAGTACGGTGACCTTACCCTCCCACTCATGCTTGACCTCCTGCCGGACACTGAGGTTCACGGTCACGTCTGCTCGCACCTGGGCCGGGTGGTTCTCTCCCAGCTGAGGTTTGGCCACCTGGACAAAGAGATACAATTAGTGGGTGTTTTACGATAAACTTCTCAGTGTTTGGCCACCTGTACAAAGAAATACAACTTGTCAGTGTTTTACAAGATACTTGTCAGTGTTTTACAAGATACTTGTCAGTGTTTTACAAGATACTTGTCAGTGTTTTACAAGATACTTGTCAGTGTTTTACAAGATACTTGTCAGTGTTTTACAAGATACTTGTCAGTGTTTTACAAGATACTTGTCAGTGTTTTACAAGATACTTGTCAGTGTTTTACAAGATACTTGTCAGTGTTTTACAAGATACTTGTCAGTGTTTTACAAGATACTTGTCAGTGTTTTACAAGATACTTGTCAGTGTTTTACAAGATACTTGTCAGTGTTTGGCCACCTGTGGGAACAAATATATGTAACAGTTTATTTGGAGTGTTTTACGTTCCCTTTCCACACACAATTAACCCGCACAGCACCAGGCTGTATTTAGCCCTCATGTCTTTCTGGCTCAAAACAATACTAAAGTCTTTGACTCCTCATGCCCAGCCAATACTGATTGCCTGCAAAATTTTGCAGACACAAAAAATTATACAGATTTCTAATCAGTTTTAGAAAACAACAAGTAGAATATTTTTTAGAGACATCTGGCTAGAATTTCGCGAGGGAATTATGCGCGACTCAAGCTGTAAGGGCAAAGAACATCATTTAGAAAGCTGGCTGCTTCAACCCTGAAGATCCTATCCGCCAAACCACAGATGCTAGGAAAATACAGTCCAACCTACTCTAACGACCACCTGTATAAGACAATCACCTGTACAAACCACCACCCGTATAAGACAATCACATGTACAAACGGCCACCTGTATAAGACAATCAGCTGTACAAACGACCACCTGTATAAGACAATCACCTGTACAAACGGCCACCTATATAAGACAATCACCTGTATAAACGACCATCTGTATATGACAATCACCTGTACAAACGGCCACCTGTATAAGACAATCACCTGTACAAACGGCCACCTGTATAAGACAATCACCTGTACAAACGGCCACCTGTATAAGACAATCACCTGTACAAACGGCCACTTCCCATTTCTTCCCTTGCATTATCTTTACTTTATAACGACATTGTGTATAAGACGGCCATTTTTCTCCTTGACAATGGACGGTCATCTTAGACAAGTTAAGCTGTACATTACAAGAAATGACAATAAGTTTTAAACTTGAGCGAGTTGCTTCCAAGGACAGAAAGGTTCAACTTCCTCACTCCTCCCGACATGCTGCATTCCGCTGGGTGACTTAGCATTCATGTAGCAAAAAATACACGACGAAGGGACAATACAAAAACAGAACAAAAATATAAGTACAACAGCTTGACAGGGAGCGTACCTCAACGACATTGAAGGCGTGGATGGGTTGAGCCATACGTGCCCAGCCTCCGAACAGGCAGTGGCCATCTTCAGCTTTCCTGAGGAGCAGATGAAGAAAAGAGTAGAAAACTTTCTTAAAATTCATAAATCCATGTTTTGGGAAATTACGTGGACTGACCGAAATGTCTTGCCTCCTAGATCACAATTTCTACAATATTCACACCACAAACACAAACTTTACACTTAACAAAAGATGAATACATCTGCTCCAGAATTCAGTCAGCTGTTATCTTTCCATCAGGGAAAAATTCAAGCTGTTCTCCTTTGCACCTCTTATGGACATCAGCTTAAAACAAATTTCTGCGTCATCACTATATTGTTTTTGCTTCACGTTATTTTCAAGAAGCGATTTGTTATTTTGAGAGCAAAGAGCAGCAGCTCGTCACAATAACGGCCATTTTGTGTATGCTGTGGAAGAACTGTATTGGCACACATGACAGCCCCCAACTCTAAAGATGCAATAAATTCCCTGAGTAGAAGAGAACAAGTCACGATATTTCGCCTGCGAACACAACACATACCACTAAATTCCTACCTTAATAGGATCCGCAAGGATACCCCACCCGACTGCCCGTTGTGCGACTGTCAGGATGAAACAGTACCACACCACCTCTTTAACTGCCCAGCACTTTGTGACCTGCGTAGCACCTACCTAACTGCCTCCCCAGACATCGGAAACACTCTATACAGCGACAAAGCACAGCTGATTAAAACCTGTCAATTCTTTGCCATATCGACAGACCGAAGGGCTAGAACCCAAATGGCCGCTGGATCGGAAAAGTAAAGTGTATGCTGGGGAATAAAAATCACAAAAGAGACAGCAGAAACAAACAGAGAGAAAGAAAAAAAAGTGTGGACCAACCACTGGCGCCCTCCAACTACCCACAAAGAGTGAATCACAATTAAGTACGTACCAAGGCTTCAAGTGAGTGAGGGCGTCTTCGATATCTTGGCGGATTTCATCTGAAGAGAAAGTCAATGAAACTAGTGTCAGAACCAAAGAAACAAAACATTTGTGGTGGTCACAAGAACAGCTGATGCCCACACTTCTCTAGTCTCACTGTCTACTTTTAGTTTAGTTTTAGTAGAGGTTTTACGGTGCTCGCAACTGCATAAGGTCACATGAGCACCATCTCTAGTCCTTCTGTCTACTTTTAGTTTAGTTTTAGTAGAGGTTTTACGGTGCTCGCAACTGCATAAGGTCACATGAGCACCATTTCTATATCTACTCCAGCTCAAAGTCCTTCCACATCTTAATAATGGGCTGTTCTATGAAAAAATGAAACTGCAATGACATCACACGTAATGTGGAGGTGATGAGCTGATGAAAAAAAATCCTAAGCAGTGATAGAGCTTTTCTTTTTTTTTTTCAAGTTTCATTACAGGCAAACTTCCTCTTTACCCCCCCCCCCAAGAAAAAAACAACCCAAGTTAACAACCCAAAACCCAGAAGAGAGAGAGAGAGAGAGAGAGAGAGAGAGAGAGAGAGAGAGAGAGAGAGAGAGAGAGGGAGAGGGAGAGGGAGAGAGAGAGAGAGAGAGAGAGAGAGAGAGAGAGAGAGAGAGAGAGAGAGAGAGAGAGAGACAACAGTCAATCTTACCACTCACAAGTAGACTCCAGCCTAAACAGGTTAAAGTTCCTCAGCAGGTAGTTGTGGAGAGAGAGAGAGAGAGAGAGAGAGAGAGAGAGAGAGAGAGAGAGAGAGAGAGAGAGAGAGAGAGAGACAGACAGACAGACAGACAGACAGACAGACAGACAAACAAACAAACAATGGAACCACTCACAAGTAGACTCCAGCCTGAACAGGTTAAAGTTCCTCAGCAGATAGTCGTGGAGAGTCAGGAACTGCAGGTTCAGCTTGGGCAACGCCAGGCAGCCTGGGGGGGGTACAGGAATATTGTTTGAGTTGTGGCAACATTCAGGGATACTGTATCACAAAGTGCAGGGATACTGTATCAGTTGTGACAAGTTCAGGGATACTGCACAAGTTGCGGTAAGATTCAGGGATACTGTATCACAAAGTGCAGGGATACTGTATCAGTTGTGGCAACATTCAGGGATACTGTACAAGTTGCGGTAAGATTCAGGGATACTGTATCAGTTGTGACAACATTCAGGGATATTGTATTGATTCTGACAAGTTCAGAGATACGGTATCGGTAGAGACAAGTTACAAAAATGTACTAGTTACGACAATGACTTACTGACTTACAATAATATTTACACATGAGCGAGCTGCTTTGAAGTTTATGGTGAAAAAAAAAGTAAGATACAGGCCACATTAGAACAAGCAACATAAGGAAATTATCAACCCCTTAACTGCCTCACCCCGAGATTTTCCACTTTTTTTGGCGGGACAAGTCCGAAAGTGAAAGGGTTAAGACTAAAAAGTGGACCACATCACAGCATTCACCTATACCCTGCTATATTCACACACTCTATGGAGGCCAACATTACATCAGTTGTGAGAGACAATTTCTGGATCGATCACAATAACATGAGAGACAATCTCAACTTCTGTGAAGGGAGACCTCAACTACACCTTCACCGAATTTATCATGGGTTACCTTCTCCGGAGAAAAATTCCGAGGGCACGACATTCTCGTCCCATATGATGTTCTCTGTCGGGTAGAGAGGCATTTCGTTGATGGCTTCCTGCTGGGATCGCATTCGCTCGTGTTTCCAAATCTGGGGGAAAATAAGTTTACGAAATCAGAAAAAATGCAGACTATTGGCCACTGAAACACAAAATGTAGAGTCCGAATTGTCCAAGACAGAGAAAAGAGGTTGTCTTAGACAGGTGGTTGGCTTGGACAGAGTCATTATAATATTTTAAAAAAGCAAGGGAGGAAGTGGAAAGTGGTTATTTGTACCGGTGACTGTCTCAGACAGACGGCCATTAAGGCAGGTCGGACTGTGTTTCTAATACCTATAGACCGTAGCTTATCAAAGTGAAATTACCTATTACAGTCACAAACAAATCAGATGCCCTGACCAGTTCACAGCCAACAAAATTGACATCTTACTAAACATCCTTAATCTTGATATACAAGTTTTAACAAGCAGTGTAAAGAGACACAAGCAACATTGAACTCCTATAGCTGTGAAAAAAATATTTTGTAGATTTTCAAATGTTGTCATTTTCTTAAATCTTAACATGTCTTTAATCATTTCTTACTCATCATCACCCAGTGCCAAATCTGCGACAGACATCGGCGATCATGGTTCTCCATTCATTCCTTTGCTCGGACGCTCTCAAAAAAGCTACGTTTCTCTGATCTTTCCCTGTTACCCATTTGTTTAGGTTCTCTAAGTATGTTGTTCTGGGCCTAACCCTGCCTCGCTTGCCCCATTTCTTACTAATAACAAAAAATCAGCCTATACATTTGACGTTTGTATTCCAATAAGTCTAAAATCTGAGAAGTAGCTCATTATGTCAGCAAGCCTCACTTTTCATGTTGGCCGTAAAGTTTAAGACATGTCTTCAAAATGGCATAGGGCAAAGTCTTACACAAGGCAGTTGATATGAAGTCAACACGTACGAAGGGATCACTTCTGCAGATTGTTAAAAAAAAAAAAAAGAAAAAAAAAAAGGGAAAACAACTTACCAGCAGTTCCATGAGTGTAAGACATCGTCATGTGTCTTCAAAATGGCATATGGCAGAGTCTTACACAAGGCACTTGATATGAAGTCAACACAAACAAAGGGAGGATTTTTGCAGAATGCTTAAAAAAAAAAAAAAAGGAAAAGGAAAAAGAAAACAACTTACCAGCAGTTCCATGAGAAAAGACTTAGAGTAGGGAGACACGTCGCTCTCTAGTGGAGGGAGGTAGTTGAGGTGGGCCAGGATTGTGTGCAGGTCCTCAGAGCTGTCAGTGGGCGGAGGTGAAGAGAGAGAGAAAAATAACATGTCATATCGTTTGTTCATTAATCCTACGTTCTTTGTGCAAAAAGTCATGTTAGAACATGATTTGTACACTAGTGCATATTCCTCTGAACAAAGAGAAATGCATCAACACACTTACAGTAAAATTATTTAGCTCTGAAGAAAAGCAAGACCAAGACAAACAGACAAGTTAGAAGATGATTCGTACACTAGTGCGTGTTCCTTTGAGTAAAGAGCAGCACATCAACACGATAAGGATAATGGTCACTCTGTGAAGGAGAAAAGGAAGACAGGCAGACAGGAACAAAAGAGGGATGGTCAAGAAGTAGGATCAGCCAAGCCCTCCAACCACCCACCATTCGTCCTCATCTATTTGTTCACTTTTTCAAAGACTCTTGAGAGAGGGAATAGAGGTATGAAGGGAACCCCTGGACAGCACAGATGGCAACTTTGTCTGACCAATCATCACAAACTATGACCATACTAATATCATACTAATACAATGATGGATTTAAATTGTGTTGATGGGGGCGTAAAAACATCTGCATATCCAAAAAAATGTTCTAAACACAATCACGACTTCGGGTCTGTTGAACCAATTAGTTTTAGTTTTAGTTTTAGTAAAGGTTTTACAGCGCTCGCAACTGTATAAGGTCATAAGAGCGCCAAGGGGTGGATGTCAACAGAGAAGTCTTTACAGGGAATCAGACTTACTCTGCTCACCTCTCTTGCTTCAACAGTACAAGGTCTGCTTCGACTATCAAGGCACCCCGGAAATAGCGGGTCACAAGAGTGTGACAAACATACAAAAGAGTAGAGGGAAAAAAGCATCAGTTCCTTGTTGCAGTTCAGGCAGTTATATGAGCATGACAGTGATGGATCAGCCCATTTACAATTCTACTGTGCATAGGAACAAGTTAATGTCCCCCCTTTGGGAATGGCCTAAAGACACTTCAGTCAGTAGCACCGCCCCAAGGGGTGTCACAAACTTTGCCCACATCAATGTAGCACAGGGACTAAGTAATTCTATCCCCCGCTACAGGCAGTACCCACCTGAGTGGCTCAAAGTACTTGATTAGCGACTGCTTCGAGTCCACACTGGCAACGTTCTTGATGGCGAAGCTCTGTAGGTCCGGGTAGTGCTTGAAGACCACAGTCTGCGGGACACGACCAGACAAGGGGAATTTTAGAATGGAAATATAGCAAATAAATGTGTGGCATCGTGGTGAAATCAGGAGCTCGTTAAAAAATGGAATCGAAGGAACATACATAGGCACACACACATACATACATACACACACTAAGGCACACAATAAACAAGATATACACAAACACACACAAAGGCACGCATGCACAGATACACACAAACACACAGGCACACAAATACACACTCACAAAGGCACACATACACACACACACATACATATACACAAAGGCACACATATACACACACACACATGCACAAAGGCACACATACACACACACACACACACAAAGGCACACATTATCACACACACACACACACACAAAAACAAAGGCGCACATATACACACACACACACACATACACACAAAGGCACACATATACACACACACATACAAAGGCACACATACACATAAAAAACCCACAAAGGCACATATAAACACAAATGCACACACACACACAAAGGCACACATAAACAGACAAATAGAAACACAATGGCTCTACCTGCAGAGCGTTGACACGATTGTAATGGATGTCGATTCTGTCGTGCATGTTGAGCGCCTCCCCCGTGATGTCGTCGATCTCAAAGTGAGCGTACGACTCCAGCATGGAGAGCAGCTGAAACCACAGGAGTAGTTTTTAGTTTTAGTAAGAGTATTACAGCACTTGCAACACAATAAGGTCATATAAGTGCCGAAGAATAGATTATGTGTTACAAGAGAGTAACATACACAGAAAAGAAGGAAGGGAGATAAGGACGACAGATGTTTGATAGGAAAGAAGAAGCAGCAGCAAACCACAACAGAGCACCCGCCAACCACCCACACACAGGAGCAGACGACAAAACATGAGAGCTTGTTTGAGTGAGTAAAAAGAATCACACTAACACAACAAAGGCTATTTAGTGGACGGAAAAAACCCCCCAAGATCGACAGAAACATTAGGAGATGAGAAAAAGGACCTTTTCGTTTATTTACTTGAGCAAAAAAGAAGCACGTTCCACCGAAATACATCATTAAAAATCATGGCAAGAAAGATGAGGAAACTCAGTAAAATAACAACCCCACAGTGGACTCGAACTCGCATCTTCTGCTTGCAATGACAAAGATCGTAGACATTGCACCGCAAACACTGGAGTAACAATGCAGAGAGGTTAACATGGTCTTTTGTTTTAGTAGAGGTTGTACGGAGCTCGCAACTGCATAAGGGCATATAAGCGCCAGTAACATGGTCTTTTGTTTTAGTAGAGGTTGTACGGAGCTCGCAACTGCATAAGGGCATATGAGCGCCAGTAACATGGTCTTTTGTTTTAGTAGAGGTTGTACGGAGCTCGCAACTGCATAAGGGCATATGAGCGCCAGTAACATGGTCTTTTGTTATAGTAGAGGTTGTACGGAGCTCGCAACTGCATAAGGGCATATGAGCGCCAGTAACATGGTCTTTTGTTATAGTAGAGGTTGTACGGAGCTCGCAACTGCATAAAGGCATATGAGCGCCAGTAACATGGTCTTTTGTTATAGTAGAGGTTGTACGGAGCTCGCAACTGCATAAGGGCATATGAGCGCCAGTAACATGGTCTTTTGTTATAGTAGAGGTTGTACGGAGCTCGCAACTGCATAAGGGCATATGAGCGCCAGTAACATGGTCTTTTGTTATAGTAGAGGTTGTACGGAGCTCGCAACTGCATAAAGGCATATGAGCACCAATAACATGGTCTTTTGTTATAGTAGAGGTTGTACGGAGCTCGCAACTGCATAAAGGCATATGAGCACCAATAACATGGTCTGAATTCTTTCACGCAAAAAACCCCCCAAACCCAAATAACCTTTCCATTACCACTCATAACGACAAGATAAGAAGAGAGCACAATAACAGAGAGAGCCACAGCTTTTGATTGAATAATGAGAAGAGCATAAAAATATAACAGCCATTTAACACAGGGAAAGAATATTAACAGAAATAACAGGGGGAAATACAAGAAGTAGGACCTGCCAGTAGCAGCAAGGAAACTGCAGAGCTTCGTAAATGGATGCCTACGAAGGATAGTGGGGATCAAGTGGTACGATCGAGTCACGAATGCTCAACTGTGGGAGAGAACAAGCCAAAGGCCAGTAAAGGAAGATATTCAGGTGAAGAAATGGAAATGGATTGGACACACCCTGAGGGGACCCCCGACAAGCATCATCGGGCAGGCTTTAACGTGGAACCCACAAGGAAAGCGTAAGAAGGGAAGACCAAAGATGACATGGAGGCGAGCGGTACAAGCGGAAATTGAAAAAGCGGGGACATCATGGAAACAGATAGAAAAGGATGCTCAGGACAGGCTTCGCTGGAGTAATGTTGTTGATGGCCTGTGCTCCCCTGGGAGTTTAAAAAAGGGCAAGAGAGAGAGGACGTGCCAGTAGCACTTTTCAACCATCCATAAGGGAAAGAGTAAGATAAGCAGAAATAACAGGGGGAAATACAAAAAGCAGGACGTGCCAGTAGCGCCCTTCAACCACCCATGAAGGGAAAGAGTAATGTATAAGCAGACAGAAACAACTAAGGAAAAAGAAAGAAGTAGGACCATCAACCACTCACAAGGAGCGCAGCACGTGAACTGTCATAATGGCAAAAATCACACACTACACACCTGAACTGTCATAATGGCAAAATCACACACTACACACCTGAGAGAAAAGTTTCCCCTCTTTGCGGAGGATGAGCAGCGACAGCTAACCTACCGGTGAAACCCTTCAACCACCCACAAAGAGCACAGCGTGAAGACAATCATGACACCCCCCAAAAAAAACAACAAAACAACAACATGTGACACCGACCTGAGAGAAAAGTTTCCCTTCTTTGCGCAGGATGAGTTGCGACAGCTTGCAGCGCACCACCACGTGCCTGTCGTCCAGGAGCGTGTTGACGAAGCGACGCGTCGGCAGCTGGGCCTCCGTGTCAATGAGGAGCTCCAGGAAGCGCTCGCAGTAGTGGACTTTGTTGTAGTCGGCGTGACCTGTGTGTGTGTGTGTGCAAGTGTTGTGTAAGAGAGAGAGAGGGGGAGGGAGAGAGAGAGAGATACAAGCGAATCGAACTCACATCTTCTGCGTGCAACAGCAAAGAGCCTAACTATTACACATAGACACCGGTACACATAGACACCGGTACACATAGACACCGGTACACATAGACACCGGTACACATAGACACCGGTACACATAGACACCGGTGGAGTTCAAAGATAGTTCATGAGACAAAGTGAAATGTATGAAAGAATGCTCAAAATGTTTTGTGTCTTTTGCCATACCCACTAAAAATAAGAGTAATCCTAACATTTAAGCTTCAGCTGGCATTTTGCTATAAAGGAATCATTTTCCTCAGTAAAACAACCTAAAATGACCTTGTCAAGTGTACTTATTCACACAGTTAAGTTTTGGGAACAGCATCATTGGTCTAAAAAAGGGTAAGAAAGAGCAGTCATGACAGCTAACAGTGAAAGTGGTTTCAAAATACACTCTCCACATTTACCTTATCCAAAATAAGTGGGGAGAAGATGAGGCAAAAGAAAGATAAACTTGAATATTTTATATCCAGGGCGGTTGTAGGCCAGCGCTCTGGTGTGATTAACTCCCTCTTTTCTCACAAACATCTATTGTCCGTATCTCTCCTCCTTCTTTTCTTTGTGTGTTACTCTCTAGTAACACCTCTAATCTTTGGCACTTTAGTGACCATATTGTGTTGCAAATGCCATAAAACTCTTACTAAAACTAAACTTGATACAACTTTTAAAAAATGGACAAAAGGTAAGACACGACAAGGTACCTTTGAGCGGAATTGAGTCCAGGATAGAATAAAACTTCTCGATGAGCCGAGCCAGGAAGTTCCTCTCAAACTGCACCGTGTTGAGCTCCTCTGGAGACAGCTTGGCGTCGCGCTTCTTGAACGCGTTGAAAAACTTCTTGTACTTCGGGTTATTCTTGAACAGCGCTTCTCTCCGACCCTGCAACACAGGAAATCGTTAAATTGTTAAAGTGGGCGATTGGCGGGTGCTCTGGTGTGGTTTGCTCCTTCTTTCCTATCAAACATCTATCATCCTTATCTCCCCTCCTTCTTTTGTGTTTTTGTTACTCTCTTGTAACACCTCTAATCTTCGGCACTTATATGACCTTAATGTGTTGCAAGAGCCGTAAAACACTTACTAAAAAAATTATTTTAAAATGTTAAAGTCTGAAAAATCTTTGAATGTCAGTTTGTTTCCGGTGTTTCAGTGAAGTGGGGCACAAACACTGACACAATAGCAGTCATTTAGCGCAGGGAACAGAAAAGAAAGACAAACAGAAACAACAGAGGGGAAAGAAAAGACGCATTACCTACTACTACTACTAGAGGCACCTTTTAAGGTGTAAAAGTCTTTGTACCGCTATATCAATCACCTCATATAACATTTCAAACGACGCAATAATCAAAGCCAAGATAACACGGTGCCTCACATAAACATTCATAAACTTGACTATCATTTTCACAAACTTAGTAAACCCCCCCCCCTCCCCACCTGAGTTTTTAGGGCAAATGGAGTGAAATTTAATATGTCTCTCCCCATAAACAGCTAGGAGGAAGATCGATCATGGAAGCAAACTCAGTGAAATGTTAAACAAAAAATGTATTCTTATACCAATGTACTTAAAATGACAGCAAGAGGATAATTGAGGGCCAACAAAGAATGACGATGACGTACGGGAAGGAGATTTATCCATATTGGCAGCGACACCAGCCTCTGAACTCTGTCTCGAATCAAGTCCACCTCCTGCAAAATTTTCGGTAAAATAAAAACATACGTCAATGTCCTTTTCTGAATCAAAACATTAGTATTGTCTCATCCGGACATATGCTAGTTGATTTGAATTATGTTTATATTAACAAATAAACATAAAATAGACATTAGTTAAAATTGCAAAATAAATGCACCTCTACAAGCTTGGATTAAAGTAAAGTAAATTGTGAAAGCAAATGAGGCTTTCAGCATAAAACAAGAAGTTTGAAAGCTTTCACAATCATAAACTTTAAAAACATTTTCAAATTCAAGGGCAGCAAAAGGAAGCAACGATCACTTACCAGACTGTTGAAACAGTGGATGAGGAAGATGAGGATGACGGTCGTTTCTTTGTACACCAGCGCAGAAGGACTGAGACACAGCTCCAGAACTTGCCGGAACAACTGCGAGAAGTCTTCTGGAGCTGACTTGAATGCCTGCAAGCACAAAAGGAACAAAAATACTATGCAAAACTAGAAACACAAAAGAATTTTGCAAAACTAGAAACACAAAAGAATTTTGCAAAACTAGAAACACAAAAGAATTTTGCAAAAGAGAAACATGAAAAAAAGAAACACATCAACGCAACAGCGATCACTCGTACTGGGACAATTTTTTACTCTAATGTCAATCTCCGACTGGACTCAGCCTCGAGAGTGGAAAGTCTCGAAATCCCCCCACACAGTCCAGGCTCAAGAGCACCCTGTTGTATAGTTTAGTTTTAGTAGAGGTTTTACGGCGCTCGCAACTGCATAAGGTCATATGAGCGCCAGAAGATTAGAGGTGTTACAAGAGAGTAACAAACATAAAAAAGAAGAAAGGGAGATAAGTACGATAGATTTTTGATAGGAAAGAAAAAGCAAACCACACCAGAGCACCCGCCAATCACCTACGTGCCCTGTTGGCAATCGAACCACGACCATCTGCACGATTGCCCACCATGATACCAACTGAGCCAAAAACACAGGCACAAGAGGTCGGTAACGCAGGTGAAATAGTTGGGAAAAAAAACCAAACTGACAAAAGCTACTTATAGTTTACGAATAAATACTTACCTCCCATGACGGCACTCGCTCTCTGAACTTCTCGTTGATGACAGCAGCGATGGACATGATGTGCGACTTGGATGTCTGCAATTTCAAAGTACAAACACTTAGTTCTGCACCAGTTGTAAGACTATTAATGAGAATGACAAAACCAAAATAGGGGCAATACATAATAAATAATTATTTTATATTTCATAGAAAAAAAAATGTGAAAGAACGTTTACAAGTCTCTACAGACTTTATTCTCCTTTAACTGGTGTGCAGGAATCTCATGTTGACATCTGATTAAGCATCAAACTAGTTTTAGTAAGTGTTTTACGGCACTTGCAACACAATAAGGTCATACAAGTGCCGAAGATTAGAGGTGTTACAAGAGAGATACAAACACAAAAAAGAAGGAATGGAGATAAAGGCGATAGATGTTTGATAGGAAAGAAGAAGCAAACCACACCAGAGTACCCGCCAACCACCCACAAGCATCAAACTGCTTGGTTTTAGGTCCCCCACCTGCCCTACACACATTGCAGAGTAGACCACACAGGAAGATTTAGCACATTTCTGAGGTGTGTCAATTCTCACTGGTAACGACAGGTAATCAAGTCATGACAATATTATACCAAAAAAAAAGAAGAATCAAACCTAATCTAACTGCCACCGGTCCAAGATAATTACCAGTACAATAAAAATGACTGCCGCCCCCCCCCCCCCTTTGTTTTAAATATCATTTTGACACTGTCCAATACAACCACTTAACTCCTTGACAATAGGAGGCCATCTTGATCAATTTTGGCTCGCTACAAATATTTTCCAAAAACTTGTATCAAACACACCACCAACAATACAAGTAACAAATGTACACACTCTGTGTCTACCCCCAAAAGTTTGCTCCGTCTACCGTGTAATAAAGAAACACGTAACATTATTGAAAGTACAAGGCGTAAAAATTGATAACAACTGACACCAGATGAAAAGAGGTGAAGCAAATGAGCCCCAGGATCAAACAATCAGAACAAATATATTCTCACTGCAAGAAAGTTTTTCAATAATATTTCAGATTTTTTTAGGGAAAGAAACATAAAATTCATGGTAGAAAACCATCAGTCATCAATATAGGCAGCAACCTGAACAATTCTCAGCATCATTCAATAAACTTCTCACAGTATTTAATAAACCCCCCCCCCCCAAAAAAAAAACCCCAGCTTTCTTTGTCCATACCTTGTTCTTACTGTAGTGTGGCCAAAGATAATTCTCTAAGTACCGGCTGAATTCCAGCATCATAATTCTTTTGGTTGAGAAGCTGAAAAATGAAGACATATCATTCATTAGACAATTTGTCAGACAGAAAAATCCAAATGACAAATACGTTATTTCACCTTTTTAATCACCCAAGTTTCCTCTAGACAGAAAACGGACTGACAACATTTTTAGGACCAAGCTGGATCCAAATTGTTGAATTCATAGCAAAAGGGAGGAAGTGAGAAATAAAAAAAAAAAGGGGCATTACAAAGTCCTCTTTATAGAATACACCTTCTCAGATTTCATGAAAAGAATCATCTTTGGAGCATTAGTACATGCACTAAGTACCACTGAGGTTAAAAATGGAAGGTAGAACTTGAAGTATCTTTCTATTCAGTAGGCCAACGTATAAGTGTACATAGAATTTAAAGTGCTAAAAGAGGGTTATTCAGATCTATAAAAAAATTTTTTGACTTACTTTGATGCAATCATTTCTTTGGCATAGATTTGCTCAACAATCTGAAAAAGACACCAAGCAATTTGATACGTATGAGTAAGGTAGAATGAGAGAGATATGTGATAAGACTCAAGGAACAGCAAAAAACACAGCAAGAAGATTCATAGCACGGACACATTTTTTAATAGACATTATAACACGTAACAGATCAAAGACCAAACAATTTTCTTGGTTCTCAAAAGAAAAAGACTTCCATTTACAGGTAGGCCTATTGGTCAACTGAAATTTTTTGAGTAGTCATTTGCGGTGAAACAGGATAATTGAGAGTCTCATATCATGAAGAACACGGCGGAATAAATGTCACACTGAGAAAAAGTAGGATCTGACCACTTGAAAATATTCCCCAATAAGCTAAGCTGGAATACACAAACATTATAAAACAATATCACAGTATCAATATTATAATAATTGATGGCATTTCTATAGCACATTTACACCCTTCGAATGCGCAAATCACTTTACAGCAAAGATTACGTAAACTAAAACCCTTCCTCAGTTAAAAGAATAAACATAGTATTTCTTTTTCTCGTTGAGCATTTTATCACGGTCCGAATATGTTAAGAGAAGGCGCAGAGTAGGGAACACAGACGAGAAAATCACCATAAAAAAGTGAAAGATTAAGTAAGACGATCTTCAGTCCAAGAATTCTAATTCTTGAAACTGAAACAGCGAGTAATACAAAAGAAAACAAAAAACGAGTCATCACCTCTGGCCTGAAAGGGACACCTTTCCGCTTAGCCTCTGGACCCCAGTTCTCAACAGCCAACTGCAAACAAAGCGAACTCAGTCAGAAATAAAACTTCTTCATAGATTAAAACGTAGTTTTGCTTACAACTTACTTACACGTAGCAGTCTTCAAAAACAAAATTCTGTTTTAAATAATGACAATAATGCCCTTTTTAAAGTTAAAGTCTGAAACAATGAAAAAAAAAAAGTTCCAACTTATAAGACAAAAAGAATTATCATTTACCATGCTTTCCTTAACCTTGTTAAAAATATACACACATGATAGCCATTTGAGGAAAAGAACATTTTGTCACAATTTAGGCTGTTTTTGAAAACTTTGTCACAAGTTACACTAATGAGCACTTCCCATTTTTTAATATATATCTTCTTCATAAAAAGGAGACATAGCAGCATAGCTTGTCCTTTGAAGCAAGTGTCAGATGAAATTTCTAGTAAAAATAATTTGAAAAATGAAGCACCTCTCCACCACAATACCAAACGCAAAGGAACAAGCAGTCGGGTGTGTGTGTGTGTGTGAAACATTTCTCTGTATCACTTAACACTTACAGTACCGTCGGCGACTTAAGTCACCAGGCCACAGTATGTGCTCATTACCGCTGGGGACATTAGTCACCGACCCAACCAGGCACACTAAACAAAATTAAACAATGAATGGACGCACTGCACTGAAGTAAATACAAAAAGGAAGTCACTCTATATATGATATATAGCTGAATGGTTGATGAACCTCTATGAATTTTTAAAGCGTGTTTCTTGGGCTGCCAAGGTTTTTTTAATTAAAAAAAATTCTACCAAGACTTCAGCGCTCTAAACTGGCTCGGCACCCAAAGGTTTTTCACTATATATGAGCCTTTGGTACTGTAAGTGTTGAAACTTTTGTGTAAGTTGCAGGACAGCAGACAAAGACATATATAAAACCATGAGCAAGAGTCAAGAGAATAAAGATTATTTCGTACCTCTGTTATCTTATCTTCCTGAATCTGTTCGACGGTAATGGCCATTGACTTTTTGCTGGTTTTCGGGGTTTTGGCATCTTGAGGTTCTTCCTTCACCTCCATAGGTTCTGGTTTTGATGCTGCCTTTGTTGTGTGTTGAAACGGAGACTCCTCCATGACTGAAGTCTGAAGTCCTCACCACCACACAGAGAAAATAGATGTGCTGCACTTGCTACAGCCAGTTTTCAAATACCTTCGCCTTCAAACAAAGAAGAAAATAATACATTGATTATTTAAACGTAAAGAATGGAAGAAAGTTAAAGAAAGTCAGTTTGTCTTGTGTTTAGGGAAGTGTTGTCCACCAAATTAATACTAAAACGAAAAAACTGCACTGCTAGATCTACGACAACGTCTACAACGACGCCTGAGCCTGAACTACGACGTAATCGAGTAGAAGTCAGTCAAAATGGACAAAGAATTATCATCTATCAATATTCAAACAGACTAAGATGTGGTGTAAAGTGTGGACGACTTCCAAAGAGGTATCAGTTTTTAAAACAAAGAT